TGTCAATACTTTTTTTTCTTTTTAAAAAACATCTAACCACCCAGTGGGTGTGAAATGGTATTTCATTGTAGTTTTGATTTGCACTTCTCTAAGAAGTAAAAATGTTGCTTATCATTTCACGTGCTAGTTGGCCATTTATATATCTTCTTTGGAAAAATGTCTGTTCAAGTCATTTGCTCATTTTTAAATTGGATTATTTGTCTTTTTTTATTGTTGAGCTGTTAAGAGTTCCTCATGTATTCTGGATGCTAGACTTTTATCAAATATATAATTTGTGAGTATTTCTCCCATTCTGTCAGTTGCCTTTTACTCTGTTGAGTGTTCCTTGATGCACGAAAGTATAGTTTATCTATTTTTTCTTTTGTTGCTTGCTCATGCTTTTGGTTTCTTTTCTAGTAATTCATTACTAAATCCAAAGTCATGAGAGTTTGCTGCATGTTTTCTTCTAAGACTTTTAAATTAAAGCTGTGGTATTTAGGTTGTTGACTCATTTTCAGTTCATTTTTCTTTAGGGTGTGAGGGAGACACCTCCCTTCATTTTTTGTAAGTGGCTGTTATTGGTTGAAGAGCCTATTCAACAAATCAATAGGAAATCATTCAATGACTCATTCATTGAATGGTCTTACAACCCTTGTCAAAATGAGATGGCCATTGACATATGTGGGATTGTTTCTAGGGTCTCAGTTCTATTCCCTTGGCTTATATATCTAGCCATGTACCAGTGCTACACTGTTTGGATTCCTGTGGCTTTGTAGTAAGTTTTGAAATTAGGAAGAATAAATCTTTAAGTCCTCTTATTTCTCTTTTCTTAGGTTTTTTCTTTCTTTCTTTTTTTGTAGTACTGGGGGTTTAACTTTAAACTTTATCTTTCTTTGTTTCTTTTTTTTTTTTTTTTTTTGGCAGTACTGGGGTTTGAACTCAGGGCCTTTTATGCTTGCTAGGCAGGCACTCTACCACTTGAGCCTCTCTGCCAGCCCTATCTTTTTGAAGATTGCTTTGGCTGTTCTCTGCCCTTTGCAATTCCATGTAAATTTAAGGACTAGTTTTTTCATTTCTGTGAACAAAGACACTGGGATTTTGGTAGAGATTGTGCTGAATCTGTAGATTACTTTGGGTGATATTGCTGCCTTGACACTATTAAGCCTGCCAGGCTCTGAACATAAGTTTTATTTTCACTTATCTCTGCCTTTCAAATTTTTTTTCAGTTGCGTACAAGCCTTTCACGTGTCCTAGTTAAGTTTATTCCAATATATTTTATTCTTCTTGATGTTCCTGTTTCTTGATTTTATTTTCCAGATTATTCATTACTAGTATACAGAAATACAAATGGTTTTGGGTGTTGATCATATATTCTACAATTTCTAAATTTATTTATTAGGACTAGCAGGTTTTTGTATATGTGGATTGATTCCAATTTTCTATACCTAGGATTATGTCATACACAAATAAAGATCATTTTGGTTCTTTTCTTTCAGTTTGGATGTCTTTTATTTCATTTTCTTGCCTGATTGCTTTGGCTAAGACTTCCAATACTACATTGAATAGAAGTGGTAGCAGCAGGCATCCTGTCTTGTTCCTGACCTGGAGAAAGCTTTCAGCCTTTCACCGCTGTGTATAATGTTAGCTGTGGGGTTTATCATGCTGAGAAAGTCTCCTTGTATTCCTAGTTTGTGGAGTATTTGTTTTTAATCACACATAGGCATTGGATTTTGTCAAATGCTTTTTCCATATCAATTGTGATGACCAAGTGAGGTTCTTCTTTATTGTGTTAATGTGGGATGGTGCATCTTAGATAGGAAGAAGAATAGGGGAGGACTGAGAGAGATAGGAACAGAGGAATGAGGCAGGCCATCCCAGGACAAAGAGCCAGGTAAGCCCCTCTTTCTTCTTTTATCCATTTCATGAGCTGTGCCTTTGTGAGTAAGGAAAAGAGGCCCAGCCTCTGTTACCCATCCTCCAGGACAGCTGTAGAGGATGTTGAGGAGTTTTACACCACTGTTCATAGGGGATGTTGGTCTATAGTTTTCATGTAGTGTCTGTCTGTCTGGCTTTGGAATCAGGATATCACTGACCTCATAAAATAAGTTGAAAAATGTTCCTTCCTCTTCTGTCTTTTTTCTGGAGGAGTTTGAGAAGGATTTGTGTTATTCTTCCTAAAGTATTTGATAGAATTCACTGGTGGTGTTTGTTTGTTTGTTTGTTTGTTTGTTTTTGGTGGGACTGGGGTTTGAACTTGGGGCTTTACCCTTGCAAAGCAGGCACTTTACCACTTGAGCCATATCTCTAGTCCATTTTTCTCTGGTTATTTTGGAGATGGAGGTCTCAAGAACTATTTGCTTGAGGCGGCCTTGAACTGCCATCCTCCCAATTGCAGCCCCCCAAGTAGCTAGGATTATAAGTATGAGCCACTGGTGCCTGGTGGCTTGGAGTTTTCTTTTGAGGGAGGTTTTTTGAAGACTGGCTCAGTCTCTTTAATCTGTTCAAATTTTTCTGTTTCTTTTTGAGGTTGCGTGTGAGTGTGCACATGTGTGCGTGTATGTGTGTATGTGTATGTGTTCCTGAATATCAAACCCAGATCCTTGGGCTACTAGGCAGACACTCTGCCACTGAACTATATCCCTACCCCTTTTTGAGTTTTCTAAAAAATTTTACTAGCATATATTCATTGTATAGGGAGACTCATTGTGACAATTTCAAAGTCTTACACTGTACATTGGTTAGGTCACCCTCACTATCACCCCCCTCAAACCTATCCCTATCCCGCTTAAAACAGTTGTAAGAGGTTTCATCATTCTGTTTCATATGTGTATACAAAGCCCATCAACCATATTCCCTCGCTTTCATCTCCATTCCCCCTTCTCCTCCCACAAGTACCCCCACCAGTACCTATTTTACAGTCCTGTAGTTCCAAAGTCAGTGTCCAAAGGAGTTCTCAGTGTATCCCGGTTGTGAATATACTTTACTTTGGTCAGTTTGACCCCCTCTATTATTTTTGATAGTTTGTGTGTTCCTAAGAATTTGTACATTTTGTCTGGGTTGTGTAATTTGTCCACCTATCATTGTTCCTAGTGTTCTCTTATAATCCTTTTTGATTTCCTTACATCAATGGTAATGTCTTTCACTTATGATTTCAGTAATTTGAGTCTTCTCTATTTTTCTTGTTTAGTCTAGCTAAAGACTTGTTAACTTTTGGTTTGGTTAATTCTCTGTGACTGGGTTCGTTTGCACATATTTTACTCCCTTTCCCTGGTAATACTTAAGAGTCCTTCATTTGGATGAGAAAACAAGCTCAGAGGTACACTAGTCCATCATCAGATGAAGCTTGAGGGATGCAGAAGCCAGGAAAAGTGCCCCCACCATTGTCAGCTAGACAGGTAGCCTTGTGCATAAAACGCTTCCTTGTGAAGAATTTTCCCTGGGTCCATTTGTTGCAGTGAGCATACCATCCTGTGGACGCAGTGACTCAGGCTCCTGAGAGCTTTGACAGCACCTGCCACCCTCAGGAGTCATCTGTCCCTATTTCCTAGTCTCTCCACTTTTACATTTAGTATTTAAAACTCCCCACTAATTTTTAATAGGCATAAAATGATAAGCAGCTCCCTCCCTCAAGCCCCCACATAAAAAAAAGAAAAAAAAGAAAAAATTTCAGAAGTCACACTTGTAACTGAATGTTTTGGAGCCTTGATTTTTGATGGATTTGTAGCGCTTGCCCGAAGTGAAAACCATCTATTTAGTGCACAGTGATTGCTTCCAGGTAGCTTGTTCCCCTGGGCTCCTCCTACATAGAAATTCTGGGGCTGTCCCAGGGGAGAATGCCGCTTTAAAATTTATTGGAGCTGGGCTCACGCCTGTCATCCTAGCTACCTGGGAGATTGAGATCAGAAGGATTGTTGTTCAAGGCCTGCCCAGGCAAATAGTTGTGAGACCCCATCTCCAGAAAATAACCAGAGCAAGATGAACTGGAGGAGTAGCTCAAGCCATAGAGCACCTGCTTTGCAAGTGCAAAGCCCTAATTTCAAACCGCAGTCCCATTCAAAAAAACAAAATTCACTGGTCAATTTTATTTACATTTCTTTGCTCACTATGAGGAAACAATGTGTTTTCCAATTTGTTGACTACATATTTACATTTCTTTGCTCACTATGAGGAAACAATGTGTTTTCCAATTTGTTGACTACATTTTTTTTTTTTCTTGTGGAGGTCACCTGCCCTTTACCAGCTGGGTTCTAATTTACTACATGATACATACAAATAACTGCTCTTCTGTCACTTATAACCAAAAAAGTGGAAGATATCAGAAAGGAGCAGTGCATTTTCCATTTGCTGGGCTTGAGTCTCTAGAAACCTGTTGATGGTTTACATCACATCCTTTGACTCTGTCGTCATTTCCCAAATGACTTTCAGCTGTGACCAGGCCAGTGTTGGCCTAGTGCGCAGCTCTTTCCTGGACTAAGTTGCTGAGATGGTTTGAAGATGCCTGGAAGAACTCGGGGAGAAGAAGTCATGGTCCCTACCCCCCAGGCCTTGCCATGAACCCTCTGAGGCTGAGCTGGGCAGGTGTGGCCTAGTATGGCCTGCATGGGGTGCTCCAGACCTCCCTAGGAATGTTCTGTCCCCTAGAAACCCCCACAGGAAAGTGATGGAAGCAGCCTGGCTCCAAGACTCCCCCTTGTCCTCCCTGATCTCTACAGTGATTGGGCAGAGGTGGACCTCACTGAGGCAGGCCTGTAGACAAGTGACACATTCACTCAGGACAAGTGGGTCCTCATTGTGGGCATTTTCAATTCTATGTGGATCCAGGATGCAGATTCAGGTCCAGAAGGGCAGCCCTGCAGCCCCGTTCTTCCTTCTGTCCCTAAGGACCACTGTCCCCAACAGCTCTGCTGTATCTGGCCTGGTTTCCCCAGCCTGTGAGCAGGCAGCCTCCCTCAGGCTTGGTGGTTGAAAGGTGCTGAGGGAGACTGAATGCAAAGGTCACACTCTGTCTCTTCCCATTTCAGCTGTGTTGGGGTTGAAGAGGAGGAGGCGCCAGACATCGACATTTACCACTGCCCGAACTGCGAGAAAACCCACGGCAAGTCCACCCGTAAGTACCCCAGCTTGGGCGCTGCCTCTTGCTGGAATGGCATGCACTTGCCTGGGGTGTGGGGAGGGTAGGGTCTTTGCTGGGCCTGGGTCTTGGTCTTGGTCCTGGGCTATTGGGGCTGAAAGGCCCTGGGTAGCTCCACACCACATTATCACAACCTGGGAACCTGGGGACCCATCCAGCCTAGTTTACGCTCTCTCATGACCTCACGAGGCCCTTGAAGGCAGCTGCATAAAGACCCCATTACCCTTAAAATCCAGATAGACTCCACACACTCAGCATCTGCTGTGGCCAGGCTGGCCCAAGGCAGGAGTGCAGACTTGCCAATGAAGGAGGTGTTCAGAGTTTCCAGCTGGGAGTAGCTCAACTGGCCATTTCCATATAAGGTGGACCCAGATCTTCTGTGTATGCATTTGTGGGATGGCTCTTCTGTCCATCCTGTGACAGCTCCGCTTACCCTACCTGCTGTCTCTCCAGGGGATCTTAGAAGACCTTCTTCTATTCTTCTTCCCTCCCCTTCGCTTCCTTTCAGTGCAGTGGGCCCTGGGGGCTCTCAAGGCATAGGTTCAGCTCACCCTGTACTTCAAGGCTGAGCCCTGGCTGTAGGTTGGGAGCAGTGTAGTGGTCTGTAAGGACCTTGGGAGGAACATTGCATAGGAACTGAACTGATGTCAACTGTGTGTGTGTGTGTGTGTGTGTGTGTGTGTGTGTGTCTTCTGGCCCTGGCTTCCTGTCTGGGCTGGTGTCATGGGCACTCATAGAACCTGTAGGCTGGATATGGGCCTGACTGGTTGGCTGATCACATCCTGCCTCCTGGGTCCTGGGCTGGCTGAGCCTAGGGTGGGAGGGTGGGCTGGGAGTTGAGGGAGAGGGAGGGAGCTGTGTTCAGCATCGTTACTATTTTTTAGATGGCACTTTCTTGCTGGGTGGAAGGGTGAGTGAGGTCCCTGGGGTCTCTTACACAAGGGCACTGATGCCATCAGAGGACTCCAACTTCTTGACCTAATCGCCTCCCAAGGCCCTACCTCTTAATACTACCACCTTGGGGATTGAGGATGTTAACGTATGATTTGGGGAGGGACACAGAGATTCAGACCATAGCATAGCTTGTGTGTTTCTGTGTGCATATATATGCGTGTGTGTTTGTGTGCAGGAGGTGCTATGTAATGTTGCAATTCCGATGATCACTATCATTATTACGTCAGGCACAAAGGTGCCTGGTTCTAGCACTTCCTGTGATTGTGCATTCTCAGATTTGAGATGGGTCTGCACTGTGGCCAGCACCTGTCTGTGACACATTGATTGGTTTTTGCATCATCAGCTCCAGTCACACCTTAAACTCCCAGAGCCTTGGTGACAAGAGGCCCTCCATGTCCCTGGAGAGCTCCAGCTCATGGCTGGTGCTAAGAGTCCTCTCAGAGGCCCCATGCCTGCCTCACCCTCCCTGCCCCCTGCTGCCCTGGCCTGGGGTGGGGTTTGCAATGGGCACAGCTGCAGGAAAGGAAGCCTTGCCCATGGCCGCCCTCACATGTCGTCCTTATCAAGGTGACGGTGGTGGGGATTGTAGTGCTCATCCCCACACTGGCCTGACATGTCCTTTGGACTGTTTTGACCTGTGTCCCACAGGTAGGGCCATGAGACAGATTTATCTGACCAACATCAGATTTGGTGCAGGGATCCTGGGGTTCCTGGACAGGAGCTTGACAATATGGTTGCCATGTGACAGGCACAAGAGGAGCTGGGCAACATTGCTGGTACAGCAGCACTGAATTGCAGCTGTGACAATACGAAATTACCTAACTGATGGAATATACTTCCCAATCCCTAAGACAGGCCATTGCCATCTTGCCCCTCAGGGTTGGGGTGAGACCCCAAGCACCATCCTCAGCTGCTCTCTGTGACTGACAACTCCACTGTTGGGGCCACCTGATGTCCCCACACTCCAGGCCCTCTTCAGGGGCAAGTTGCTACAGGAAAGGGGATAGACACTGACTGGGATGTGGGGAGAAGAAGGCCACCTGTGGTGGTGGCTGCCAGGCAGTGAAGGTCCCAGTAGGGACCTTAATATGGAGGCCAAGCAGGAAGTGGCCTCCGGCTACAGATGGTCCCTTGGCTGTGACCTTCTAGGAGGTGTCTCTGGTGGTCTTGGTAGACTTGGTGTCTAAGTGAGGAGGAGTCCTGAGAGACCTCAGTTTCTGTGTCAGAATGGCCAATGGTGGCTCCATTGGGAGGTGTGGGATGGGGTGGACCTGTAGCTTTGGAGGGAGAGTGGGCTCCTCCCTGTGTATGTGTTAAGGATAAGGAAGGGCTAGGTATTGGGAGAGGGTGAGTCCCTATGGGGAAGTTTTGAGTTTTGCTGAGTTCATGGGCTCCCCCAGCATCCTTCCTGTCTGCTGTCCTATTGCAGGACCATTGGTGTGGGGGCCCCAGAGACATTGGGTGGGGATGCATTTGGTGATGAACCCTCACCTCCTGTCTCCCCACAGTCAAGAAGAAGCGGACTTGGCACAAACATGGTCCAGGGCAGACGCCAGATGTGAAGCCTGTGCAGAATGGCAGCCAGGTCTTCATCAAGGAGCTGCGGAGTCGGACCTTCCCCAGGCAGGTGGACCTTCCCAGTGGGCGGACCTTCCCCAGTGGGCGGACCTTCCCCAGGCAGGTGGACCTTCCCAGTGGGCGGACCTTCTGCGGGTGGGCAGGCCTTCCCCAAGTAGGTGAACCTGGAGGCTGGCCTTAACTTCCCTTCTCCCCCTGAAGGCCGTACCTCCTCCCTCCACCCTCCATCTTCCACCTACTATAGTCCTATCAGTCAGTCTGTCAATCCATCAGTCTGGCATCAGTCGCTGGGGACTTCCTCTTCCAGGAGAATGGGGTAGGAGCAGGAAACCTGCCCTGGAAGCAGGGGAGCCTTCCCACCTACAGCCCCAGCACTTGCATAGATGGCCACTTCTCCCCTTTGTCAGCACCTCCCAGGGGCTGGTGAGGGGGACAAGTCTTGGTGGCCCTTCTTTCTCTGGGTAGAAGGCACCTCTTTCCTTACCTGGTGTGCCTGGCACCTGCCAAGTTCTGTCTCTAAGCTGGTGTTCTGAGGTCTCCTTAGAGCTCCTGTTGCCCGCACCCTTGCTCTGCCTGTACTCTTCCTTTCTTGGGTGAGAATGGGGTTTGAACCCAAGGCTTCACAAGTGCAAAGTCTATGCTGTACTGCTTGACCAACACCTCCAAGTCCATTTTGCCCAGGTTATTTTGGAGGTGAACTGTTTGCCTGGGCTGTCTTCAAATCATAGTCCTCCCAATCTCAACCTCCCAAGTAGTTAGGATTGCAGGCATGGGGCTTGGCTTGCACTCTTGCTCTGCCCACACCCTTTCTCTGTGTGAGGCCCTGGCAGGGAGCCTGAGGCAGGCAGTGGCCCCCAGTGAGAGAGGGCAGTTACTAGAAGCTGCTCCCAGGCACGCAGAACCATGAGATAATTTCTGTTTGTCTGACAGAAATCTTTTATTTATTTATTTCGCAGTACTCAGGTTTGAACTCAGGGCCTCATGCTTGCTAGGCAGGCGCACTACCACTTGAGCTACTCCACCAGCCCTTTTTTGTGTCTCACCAACCAGCTTTGAACTGCAGTCCTCCTGATCTGTGCCTTCTGAGTAGCTAGGATTACAGGCATGAGCCACTGGTGCCTGGCTGATAAAAACCTTTATTTCTCCTTCACTTTGAAAGGATAACATCGCTGGACAAAGAATTTTAAGTTGGCGGGGTGTTCTTTTGATGCTTTAAATATTTTCTCTCACTCTCTTCTTGCTTGTGTGGTTTCTGATGAGAAATCTGTGTCACTTTTATCCTTGACTTCTGTGTATGAAGTGTATTCTCTCTGCTGGCTTCTTTCTTTTCTCTCCCCTCACCTTATTGAGAGGTAATTCACATACCATAATGCATCCATTTAAAGACCACAGTTCAATGGCCTTGGTATGTTCTCAGAAAATTTGCATTTTCTACAATCAGTTTTAGAACCTTTTCCTCACTCCCAAAAGAAATCACCCCTGTCTTATATCCCCCCTCCACACAGCCCTAAAGCAACCACAAGGCTACCTTCTCATCTCTAGATTTGCTTTTGTGTGGGCATTACATAGAAATAGATTTTTGCATGCTTAATTGTTTGAGAATACCAGACTGTTTTCCAACACAGTTGCCAACAATGTGTAACTGGCTTTGCTTTCATTTTTGACAGTATGGGGGCTTGAATTCACTGCCTCATGCTTGTAAGGCAGGTGATTGACCTCTTGAGCCACAACCCCTGCCCTTTTTGCTTTAGTTATTTTTCTGTTAGGGTCTTGTATTTTTTTTTCCCGCCAGGCCAGCCTGGACTTTGATTCTGCTACCTATCTCTCCATTATACCTGGGATTACAGTGTGCCCCACCACACCCATTTTTCTCGTTGAGATAGAGGGTTTTCACCTTTTGCTCAGGCTGGCTTCCAACCTTGATCCTCCCAATGTCTGCCTTCTAAGCAGCTGGGATTCCAGTCATGAGCCACTGTATCTGGCCCTGTAACTAGCGTTTTTTATTTCTGGCCATCCTAGTGGATATGAAGTAGTATCTCATTGTATTTTGATTTTGATAACAGTCCAATTTTCTTTTATTCCTTGTGATTTTGTTGGTATAGCTAAGGATCCTTTGCTAAATCCAAGGTCATGAAGATTTATGGTTATGATTTCTTCTAAATGGTTTTTGTAGTTGTAGCATTTACAGTTTGTTCTTTGATACATTTTGAGTTGATTTCTCTATATGGTGTGAGGTGAAGACCTAATTTCATTTTTTTTTTTGTTGCATGTGGCTATCCATTTGTCCCAATACCATTGTTTTGCTATTAAATGGCATCCTTGTTGAAATCAATTTACCGTAAGTGTCCACGTTCATTTCTGGATACTCAGTGCTGTCTGCTGATCTGTGTCCACATAGCCTACAGTTGTTAAGTTTTTGAAATCCTACAACTTTGTTTCATTTTCAAGATTGTTTTGGTTATTTCAGGTCCCTTGGGTGTCCATGTGAATTTTAAGACCAGCTTGTCAGTTTCTACAAAGAAGTTAGCTGGGATTCAGGAAGAGATTGCTTTTTTAGATCACTTTGTGAGTTTTGCCATCTGAACAGTGTTGAGTCTTCGTGCCCATGAACATGGGATGTTTTCAGTTTATTTTGATTTAGAAAATTTTTTTTTCCAATAATAATTTGTAGTTTTCAAATTATAAATCTTACAGTTTTTCTTTCTTTCTTTCTTTCTTTTTTTTGGTGGGACCAGGGTTTGAACTCAGGGCTTTGTGCTTGCAGAGCAGGTGCTCAGCCTCCTGAGTCACACCACCGACTCCGTTTTGCTCTGTTATAACTTTGGAGATGATGTCTTTCCATTATTTCCCCAGGGTGGCTTCAAACCGCGATACTTCAGATCTCAGCCTTCCATGTGGCTAGGATTACAGGCATGAGCCACCAGCACCCAGCTGTCTTATACTTCTTAGTTTAAATTTATTTGTGTTTTGCCAGACCCTATTGGCTCACGCCTGTAATCCTGGCTACTCAGAAGGCAGAGATCAGGTGGCTCGTGGTTCAAAGCCTGCCCAGATCTTATCTTGAAAAAGACCCTTCACAAAAATAGTGTTGGTGGAGTTGTTCAAGGTGAAGGTCCTGCGTTCAAGCCCCAGTCACGCCAAAAAAAAAAAAAATTGTGTTTTATTCTTTTTGGTTCTTACATAAGTGAAATTGTTTTCTTAATTTTACTTTCAGATTGTTGTTACTGTGCAGAAATATATTTTATTTTTGTATATTGACCTTATATCCTACAGTCTTGCAGGCTGTTTGTTAGTTTGATTTTTAGTTTGTTCAGTGGCTTTTTTCTTGTTTTGAGGATGAGAGTAATCACTTCCAAGCTCTTCGCGTGTTGGAGTTGAAACCAGAGGTCAAGGTCCACCTTATTTTAATCACCTCACATTAATTGGGCTGTTTGCCGTTTTATTTTTGAGTAGTAAGAGTTCTTTACATATTTTGGATACCCATCACTTGTCAGGTATTTTCTCCCATTCCATGGGACAACGTTTTCCTTTCTTGATAGTGTCCTTTGAAGCATACAGGTTTTCATTTTGATGAAGTTCCGTTTTTCTTCTGTTGTGTTTTTAGTGTTACGTGTAAAAAAATCATTGCCTAATCCAAGGCCATGAAGATTTTATGTATTTGTTTTGTTTTTCCTCAGAATTTTATAATTTTACCTATACAGCTTGTAGTTTTACGCGTTGGATGGGTCTGACTCATCTTGAGTTAATTCTTCTATCTTGTGGGAGGTAGGACTCAACTTTATTCTTTTGCATGTGGATAACTCTGGTTTTCCCAGCACCTTTCATTGAGAAATCGATCCTCTCCGTGTTGAGCTGTCTTGGCACTCTCATCGCAAAGCTGTAGGTGAGCATGCGTTCTGGACTCAGTTCTTTTCCACTGCTCCGTAGGTCTCTTCTTGATTATTGTAGCTTTGTCATGTGAGCGCCTTGCATTTCCACTCGGCATTCCACGTTTTGGTAGGAATCGTGTGGGATCTATAGATCAACTTTCCGCTCCCTGAATTCCACTCTTTTCTTCTAGATTTGATTTCTTTCTTATTAAATTATAGCCTTTAGTAGTTTTTACAGCAAAGGCCTATAAAAAATATACCCTCTTTGCCTGATTGTCTTATTTTATCCTTGTTTTTTTTTGGTGGTACTGGGTTTGAACTCCGGCTTCACACTTTTGAGCCACTGCACTAGTCCTCATCCTGATTCTTTTTTTTTTTTGGTTAAAATTTTTGAGACATCTCCAGATGTAGCCCAAGCTGGCCTTGAATGAATTTTTTTTTTTTTTTTGGTGGTACTGGTGTTTGAACTCAGGGCCTCATGCCTTGCAAGGCGGCAGGCACTCCACCACTTGAGCCTCTCCACCAGGCCATTGTTCTTGACTAGTTCTGTGATTGGAAATGGATCTAAAATTCTAGAGTGAAAGTTATTTTTCCTTCAGCTCTTTGAAGATGGTTACTACCTTTTTGACATCTCTGTTTGGTGATGAGATGTCTGTTGGTAGTCTAGTTGATGTTTTTCATTTGCAAACAAGTTTCTGGTAAATATGTAGGGTTTTTTTCACCCCTAAAAACATTTAAGATTGTTTTCATGTTTTTATTTACCCTGGCTGTACTTTAATGCCTCTAGATGTGCATTTGTTTTTGTTTAACCTACTTAGAACTCTGTATACGATTTTAATTTGAGGGCTCATATCTTAATTCTGAAAAAGTTCTGTTTTCTTTCTTTTTTCTCTTTTTGTTCTGGGTATTCAACCCAGGGCTTTGCACATGCTAGGCAAGTGTGAATCATTTGAATCATGCCCCACCCCTTTCATTTGTATTTTTTGTTTCTGAGTTAGGATCTTGCTAGCTTTGCTCTGGAACTCAACAATCCTCTTGCCTGTACCTCCTGAGTAACTGGGATTACAGGTGTGTTCCACTACACCTAGCTTCTATTTTTTCTATCAATAACATTTCTTCTGTATTGTGTGCGACATTTTTCAGATTTTTCTTCAAGTTCATTCTTTCTTTCTGCCAGTTACCTTATTTACTTATGTGTTTATTTATTTATGTATGTATGCATGTATGTTTTTCTTTCCCTCCCTTCCTCTCTCCCTCCCTCCCTCCTTCCCTCCCTCCCTCCGTCCCTCCCCTCCCTCCCTCCCTTCTTTCCTTCTTTCCTTCGTCTGTTTCCCACCTCTCTCTTTCTTTCTGGCTCTCTCTCTTTCTCTCTTTCTTGGTGGGACTGGAGTTTGTACTCAGGTCTTCACACTTGCAGAAGCTGGTACTCTACCACTTGAGCCACACATCCAATCTGTTTTGCTCTGGTTATTTTGGAATTAGCGTCTTGCAAACTATTTCCCCGGGCTAGACTAGAACCTTGATCTCAGCCTCCCAAGTAGCTAGGATTATAGAAGTGAACCACCAGCACCTGAACATTTTTAAAAAGTAGTATTTTATTATTATTATTAATTTATTTATTTATTTTGAGACAGGGTCTCACTGTGTAATCTAGGCGTGCCTTGAACTTGTGATCCTCCTGCCTCATCCTCCTGAGTGCTGGGATTACAAGTGTGGGTAGCCATAATGCCTCTCATTAATCATTTAATTTATCCATTGGGTTTAAACTTTTTCAATCATTTTTTATTTCTAGAATTTCTACAAAGCTCCTTTTCAATATTGTCCTTTTTTTTTTCATGTCACCCTGTTTTTTGCCTAATCTGTTGTTTCTGTATTGATGTGTTTCATATATTTATCCTAAAATTTCCTTTTCTTTTGTTCTGTTTTCCTCAGTTCTTATGATCTATTTCCTCTGATACTCACTTCCTTCTTTGAGCCATGGTTTTTCAGAGGTCATTTTCTGTGGTAGCTGTGCGCCCAGGCTGCCAAGGTGTCCTAGCAAGATGATTTTGCGAGTGTCTTTTGCTGTGGCCTCTGTGGACTTCGTAGTTCCAGATCCAGTTTGTGGCCCTTCACCCATGGCGTTAGTGTGAATTTGGCACTCTCACCAGGGAGATTGGGCTTATGATTTGGACTCATCAGGGTTGAATTTTACCTGTGGATTCCGTAGATGGGAGACTTCTGTGACTTCCAAAGCTTACTTGACATCACCTTTGTATTCCCTGGCCTCATACACTTGTCTGCCAACATTTTCTTCTTCCTCTCTTTGTAGTCACTCTGCTGGTTTGTCCTTAACACTACTACCATGTGATCAAACAGCAGACACTCTTCCTTCCTGACCTTAACTGACCCTTCAGCAAAACTGGACACTGCAGGCCTCCCTCTTAGAGACATCCTGCCCTTTCTTGAGTTTTCCTCCCACCTGCTTGCCTCCTCTCCTGCTGACTGCTGCCCCTGAGGCATTGCCTGCCTGGGCCTCTGCTCTTGGTACCTGCCCCGAAGCTCCACAACTTTTCTCCAGCTTCTCGCTCTTCAGAATTCCTGACCTGTTCATCCCACCAGTGCATCCACCTGAAGAATCTGACACGTACATCAGACCAAATATATCCGCAGCTTAGCTCTTGATGTACTCACTGCCACCCACTCCTGCCCTCCTCCATAGACCCTCATCCCTGGCCACACCTATTTTGCCTCTTCCTATTGTCTTACCCTCCTCCAGCTCCGTAATGGACATACTGACCTCCCTGCTTGCCCTCGTCTCTCTCACTGCCCACCTGCTCAGGCGCCTACTGAGGTGCTGAGCTTCCTCCTGGTTGTCTGTCCTGCTTCTGCAGCAGTCCTCTGTTCATGCAGTGGTGGACAGAGCCTCAGGCTGTGTTGCCACCCTGCTGAAACTCTTCTGTGGCTCCTTGGTGCTCTGGGCCTGCAGCATGAGCATGACCAGGGTGGACAGTCCTTAGGTACCTAGCACTCTATCATTCCTCATGCCTGCCTCCGTGTTCCCCTGCGAAGGCCTCACTGGTACAGGTCTCCCACTTCCCAGGAAGATGGCTAGGGTGTGTCCACACTCAGAGGTGGTCATTCGCTACCTGTCCCCATCTAATTCTGGCCCAGTAGTGTCCAGGAGTGGACACTCTCACGATGGTCACAATGACCAGTTGGTATATGCCTGACCCTGTCCCTGCTGCCTCTTCCAGGGTAGCAGTGTAGGACGGGCAGGACGGGTGGAGCTGGGGACAAATGGACCTGGGGTTTTACCCTTGTCTGCCTGTGGCTTTGACCAAGGCCTTCTCAGCCATACAGCATCTGTGTCCTTCTGGGAAACGGACTCCATCTGCTGTCTTAGTGGCTCCTCCCCTCCTTGGCCCTGATCCTGGTGGCTGTTGCTCCTGCTAGGTGAACTCAGGCCACATGGAACTTGGAAAGTCCCATTGGTTACTTAGAAAACTGAGTCCAGGAGGGGTGAGGGCCCTGTGGGGTCTGACAGTTGGTGTGGCTATACCATGCCTCTCCCAGGTCTCCTGGTGAAGGATCTCTACCCAGGACCTGGAAGACAACAGTCCCAACGTGGACACCTGATTTCCTGAGGGTGCTGGGTTGGGATCTCATGTCCTAGGCCTGTAGTGGGAGTTGGGAGTTGGCCTAAGGCTTGGACTCACTCTGACCTGCCCAGTAGGGACTCTCCCAGGACACTGTTAATCAGGCTCATCCTGATGGGGCCTCATACCCCAACAGCCCCAAATGCAATGGGAGGACCTGCTTTGTTCTCACTCACAGACTACGCAGGGCTGGGCAGCAGGAGAGAGCGCCACCAGACCATGGTGTCTCCTGCCTCCTTGAGCCACGGTGGGAAGGGCGGCTGGCATGCAGGGACATGGCACAGTCTCAGTGTCCCTCATCATTGTGGGTGCTGACCTTGATGTCTCCATCTGTGGCATGAGTGGGACTGTGTGCTGTGCTCCTAGGTGGTGGGGTCAGCACCATGTTGGCCTGTGGTTGCCCTGGTGGCCTCCAGGATGGTTGTGCCTCAGCCGACCTCCTCCATTGACCTGGGAGGCATAAGCCAGATGTAGCATGGCCTCTGACCCATGCTTCTCCCACAGTGCTGAAGATGTGGTGTCCCGTGTGGCAGGCAGCCAGCTCACACTGGGCTACATGGAGGAGCATGGCTTTACCGAGCCCATCCTTGTCCCCAAGAAAGATGGGCTGGGCCTGGCTGTTCCGGCCCCCACGTTCTACGTCAGTGATGTAGAGAACTATGTGGGTAAGTATTGTCCCCTTCACATCTCGTGGAGGCCTGGAGTTGGGAGGCATTGGGATCATTCACTGCCCTCTACACACCATCCCCAGTACACTGGCTGTGTCCTGGATATGGTACAGGCTGGTGAAACTCACAGCTCTATTCTAGGGACTCTTATAGCAGACCCTGGGTCCCCCCCAAGACAATATGGACCCTGGCACGCCCCCTCCCCAGTAGTTCCTCTGGCCACAAAGGGGGCCTGCTCTGGGGACTCTGTGATTTTTTCCCAGCTGTGTATTCCACTGTTGTTGGGTGTCACATGGCCCTGCTATGGCTGGGTGCCCCAGAGTTGTGGGACAGCTTCCCTGTCTTGGCTGCTAGCCAGTGGCTGGGCCTTCTTCACCTGCACTATAGCCTGCCTCCCATGCTTCCAGGGCCACCTCTTAGACTAGATACTCCTGCGTTCTTGCTTATGCTTTTGCAGCTACCATCGTGTGTCCACTTGGAGCAGTGGCACTATGACATGTCAGTCAGGGCATGTGTAGGTGGAGGAAGGTGCTATGTATTGGATGAGAGGCAGCAGTTTGGCAGCTGCCTGGCCAGGCTCTCCCATCGTTGCTGGGTGCGGGTGTTCAGGTAGGTGCTGAGTACCTGCTGGGGAAGAAGGAAAATCCCTGAGGAGAAGATGCTGCCCAGGATGGGAGAGGCTGTGGGCTGGGCCTCTGCAGACAAGTAGCCTCATCGCTCTGAATCTGACCAGCCTCATGTGAAGCGCACAGTGGGGGAATAACAGAGGACCCCATAAGATCATCTGTATGAGCCACTGGGCATATGGTGGCAACCACCTGGGAAGTCATCGAATTCCTTTTCAGCAGGAGGATGGGCCAATGTGTCCCCACTCTGGAGCCACCCAGGTGGGGGTTGCAAAATAATGTAGGAGGGAGAGTGTGCACCCGGGGAGCTATGGGGCATTTCAGAAAGGAAGTCAAGAAGTGTTCCTTCTGGTTGGGGTTGGAGGATTCAGGGTCTGTGGAAGAGGTTTGTTCTGTGGCCTTTTCAAGAGGGAGGGCAGGCTGGGTACGGTCAGAGTTGTCCTATGCTCAGCTGGCTGTCAGTCAGCAGTGCTTGGCTGTGGGCAAACGGAGTTAACCAACAGTTTGTTTCTGCCCTGCTCCACCATGCTAGTGAGCTGGCCTTGACATGGCTTTTCTCTTTGGGTATTTGAGCTCGCCAGGCACACAGGAGCCTGGCTGTGCTCACCAGGGGCTGTCGTCCTCTTTCTCACACCACACCTGTTCTGCTGGCCCTATCCAGCTTTGGCTAGGTGTGGAGCACCACTGAGAAATCCTGCTGTCTAGTGAGTGTCTGCATAGTGCCAGGTGTTTTGTTAAGTACTTCCCACACAGAAGCAAATTTCGTTCCTCCCACAGTTCTGAGACCACAATTCTGCCACCAAGACCCTGGGCTACTCTGGCCACAAGGCCCTGACCTCTCCACAGCTGTCCTGTAAAGAACAAGAACAAAAGGGTTCTTAGAGGTGTTTTTTGCTTTTATGTCTTTTCTTTTCCCTCTTAATTATTTAAAATTCTGGAGCCTTTTGAACACACAAAATGAGAGCAAAGAACAGTGAACCCCATACCCCTGCACTGGCCACAAAAACCAGCAGCTTTCTGCCAGTCTTCTGCCCTCCCCGCCTCTTTCCTCCCCCTTGGAGTATCTTAAAGCAAATCTCTTTATGAATACCTTTCACCCATAAAACTCCAGCATAAGCTCCAACAGAGGATTTAAAAACACATATCTCAATTCCAGTCTTACACTCTACAACATTAACAATAATTCTCTAATAGAGCGTAAGACCCAGTTTAATTTCCCATTTTTCCTCAAAAAATGCCTCTGTATGTTCAAGGCTTTGGGTTCGATTCCCAGCACTGCAAAACAAGCAAACGAACAGAGCCATTTTTACAATTTGGTTGTTCAAACCAGAATTCAAGCAAGACCCACATGTACCATTTGGTTTTTACGTCCCCAATGGATGAGGACACTTTTTCTTGATGACAGCCCCACCCCACTCCCTGCCATTCTGTCCGTTTGTTGGAGAAAGGGGTTGTGGGCCTGGCAGACTTTCTTAAATCCGGAACATGGTTGTTGGTGGACCTGTGGTGTTGCTCGGCAGGCCCCTGTGTCCCAGATGTTTCCTGTAAGCATGAGTGCAGAGGCCTTCTGGGTAGCTCCTTCATGGGTACATATGCCTCCATCAGTGAGGACACTCCCCGTGCCTGACACACTCCTCTGGTGATGCTGCCATGCTAGGCAGGGCTTGGTGCCCAGCTCCTCTGTGCATAGAACTCCCGGCTGCCCCCACCTTGCATCTCAACAGCCACTGTGGACCCTACAAGGGCGAGTTTGCTTGTCTGTTCTGTCTTCCTGTCTATTGATTGTGAGTCCTGTTCTAAAGACTTTTACCCCCTCAGTTATCTGATGATCCTGAGGTTTTTCTCAGCAGCTACAGAAAAGGCAAGATCAATTTTTCCCCCTTATTCATTAGTTGATCAGTTTTTTAGAATGAGTTGATGCCTTTGTTAGTCATCTTTCTGTCACAGTAACAAAATGCTTGAGGCATAGAGCTTAGAAAGGGAAAAGGTTTATTTTGGTTCTGGAGGTTTCAGTTCGTGTTCCACTGGCCCATAGATTTGAGACTCTGACAAGGATGTTGTATTATGTTCGAGAGTGTGGTGGAGCAAATTGCTCATATCATGAACAAGGAAGCAAAAGAAAAGGAGGAGCCTTCCAGGGCATGCCCCCGATGACCTGACTTTCTCCCACTAGGCCCCACCTTCCTAAAGGTTCCACCACCTCCCAATAGTGCCACAGGCTGTGGAGACCAAGCCTTTAACACTTGACCCTCTGAGGACATTTACCCAAACCATAGCAATGCACGGTTCTAGACCTATTTAGGTTGTGTCTATGCTAAAATGTATTTGTTTTGTATCTAAAAGTCAGGTTGACTAGACATCTGTATGCTTATTTTCCGACCTGGCCACCCTTGCTGAGGCCTGAGGTTTACCCCTCACCGCATCACTGTGTCCTTGGGACAGAAGGAAGTGGCAGGCACTGTTGCACTAGGGCAATGGCAGGCACGGGAGGCTCAGAGCCTCAGGGTGCAGCCCTAGCTCATCACCCTGCTACCGTAGGCCCCGGGCACCTCCTTGGCATGCTAACCCTCCCCTGCCTCCCCAGGGCCAGAGCGGAGCGTGGACGTGACCGATGTCACCAAGCAGAAGGACTGCAAGATGAAGCTGAAGGAGTTTGTGGACTATTACTATAGCACCAACCGCAAGCGGGTCCTCAACGTCACCAACCTTGAGTTCTCCGACACCAGGTGATGCCCCATCCCTGCCCCCACCCAGGTCAGATGTCACAGGAGTGTGACATACTAGACACAGCACATGCCGTTTTTCTCTTTTCTCCTTAAAGTATAGAAGTAACACAGTGAACAATTCAGACAAAAGCAGGGAGCAAAAAAGAAATCCATCTGGTCTCCCCCCTCAATGCCCAGAGAACCATGGGTGGAGCATGGGGTGGTTCTTTCCAGAAGGTGCACTCATGGACTCACAGCCATGACACCAAGAAACAACAGCAACACTCATGACACACCTCCTGATGTACTGACATGCTCATATTAATTCATGGACACATACGGATGTATTCATGACACACTCACCAACACATTCATGGCACACCTGACACACTTGTGCCACACTTCCCAGCTTACTGATAGCTCATATTAACTCAGAGTATTGATGTATTCATGACACACTTGTCAGCACACTCATGGCAAACACCTGACACACAACCACAGACATTCATGACACACTTAGGACACATCCATGCCTGCCACACTCACAGTTGACATCCCCAGCCCCATTCCCTGTCATACTTATGACACCCTTGTGCACACATGCCCCTTGCACATACATGTAGTCACACTCTCACAGAAATGTGCCATGACTTCTGCATTGTAAGCCTACTCCCCTCCTCAGTCCTCTTCCCCAGATTCCACTCACTGCTTTCCTCAGGTGACAAGGCACCACTCGGATATGCCTTGTCAACCTCATGCCAACAAGTCCTAGCTTTATGGTCAGCCCCAGTCATTGTGTGGGCTGGTCATGTACTGGTTCCACCCTGTCCAGGACATGCACTCAGACATGGTCTGTTTCTGCCCTGCTCCACCCCACATTGCCCCATCATGACTTCCACTGCCCTCCCTTGGTCCCTCGGGAAAGAGCCAGAACACTCACCTCTCCCATAAGGCATGAGTGGCTAGGAAAGGTTGTGATTTGGCATCACTTCCACCTTGCCCACTTCCAGAAAGCACCTGAAATAAGGCATGTTCAAAAAGGAAGTGGGGAGAAAAAACCCAGAGTTTTTGAAAACTACACTGACAGAGCCACAGAAAGAGAGTGTAATTGGACATTGCATTTTTGTTTGTGCTTCCTGGCAGCAGAGACAAAAGGAGGTAGAATGTGGTAATGGAGAAGGCAGCCTTCCATATGTTCATTAGAGGGGTTTTCTCAAGCTGCTTTCTGAGCTATGCATGGCTTTGGTACCAGGGGACACACTGAGTCGTGTCTCCATCAGTGGAATTTGCTGCACCCCCCACCTCCAGTCCTTCCAAAGGGACACCTGGTGATGGAGCTGGGGGAGTAGTAATTTGGCCTGGAGTTTCTGCTTGGGCTCCTCAGAAGTACCCCTTTGCCTCCTGTGTCTCCTGCCCAGTCCAAGACCATGGCGGGGTCATGTGTAGCTTTTGTTGGGTACTTACTATACAGGAGCATTCTTACGGGCTTGGGTCAGGACTTTGACACAACTCTGAGAACTCAGTCTGCACTGAGGGAGGAGGGTGGCCTCCACTTCATTGCTAAGTCGTCCTCAAAATTTTGGTTGGGCTGCAAAAGTCAGGGCCCACCCAGTGGGCCATCTGGGGCAGCTGTCAGTGCCAATTGCCTCCAGGGGCCTCCAGTGACCATTGTGCCCCCAGAGCTCAGAAGTGCCTGCTGTGCAGTGGGTCAAGGACGGTGTGCTTGCCTGTTCTTGCAGCACCCACATCACATTTAGACTGACTGCCGCCTTGGGTGCCCAAGGGGGCGTTGGGACCCTCCGCCATGCAGAGAAAGGGCTGGCTTGGTACTTGAGGGGCTGGCTAAGCCAGAAAAGAAGGATATTGGGGGCTGTGTCAGGTGTTCAGTGTTCAGGGCCAGGTGGAGCTAGAGCACAGGTTGGGCTGCAGGAGCAGGGCCCTCTCCTGCAACAGCAGCATGCTCAGTGCACGGATTGAGGCAGTGAAGACCCTGGGAGGGGCACAAAGGATCCCAGTTTGGAACACACTGCAGACTTTAAAGGCAAGGGTCTATGACGGTAGGAGTGGCAGGACCAGGCCTGTGATTTGCGGCAAGGTTTTACGATAGAGAGCTTCTCCCCATTCGTCAGGAGAGGTGCAGATGGATATAAAGATTTTATTATGTGGCATGCCTGGAGGTCACACATATGGAGGTCAGGGATAACAGGCAGGGAGATATATGGACCTGCAGGCCAGTGCCTTCATGGGGTGCAGGGCTTTACCCAAGCAGGTTTCCTACAGGGAGTTTTAATTGATGGGTTTATGGCAGGCATGTACAAGTTTCATGGGGTCATGCTGTGACTGAGAAGGGTCACTGTGGAAGATCTGCATAGTCTGTGCAGTGTCGGGGTGAGTGGGATCCATTAAGGAGGTTGTCTGTAGCAGTCCCACAAGATGGTGGTCCCTAGGACAGACATCTGGATTGGCCACACTGAGGAAGAGGGATGGGGCTGGGAACTGGAGACTGTCGATGGTGCTGGAGCCTTGCTTGTGGTATGAGAAAGGCCAACTGATATTTAAAATGGAGGTCAAGGCAACAGCAGATTATAAGGATTCACTGCAGCCCGTCTTGTCTGGGTGTGTGTGGCCTTCAAATAGAGACAGCGAGGATGTGAGGGCACCACAGAGGTTTCAGACTGAGACACAAGAGCCCTCATCTTGTCCGAGGCTGCAAGAACTCCAAGACCTGGCTCTTTGTGGTGGCTGAAGTGTCACCACCCGGGGGCTGCCAAGTTTGGTGGTTTTCACATTTTATCCAGGACAGTAACATTTCACTAAATCATAGGCTGCCTTCGCCTTTCCCCACCTTCCTTGAATATGACTCAGCTGGCTTTGACGGTGACCTGATGTGGCTGGGAGTCGTGGGCTGCCTGTTCTGTGCTCTTGTGAGCAGTGACTTTTATTCAGGCTGTGTGTGAGAGATATTTACTGTTAGGGCTCTGTGATGCCACGGTATTGAGAATACAGGCTAATATCAATGACCCACTTTCCAGTTCCCTCAAAATGGAGTCCTCTCTCTGGGCTGGCCAGTTCCCAGGCTTTCCCTCACCCCTCCTCTGGGTGTGAAGACCAGCCTTGCTGGCTTTCAAGGCTCCACCCAGCAGCTGGGCTCTTTCCATGTTCTAGAATCCTCAGTTTGCACATCTATGAAGTGGGAGTGATGCCATGTGGCCCACAGGTAGTGAAAGAGTGTGGCTATGCCTCACAGCACCCTTTCCACCTCAGGGGACATAAGAATGGAAGCATTAGGTCCCATCACTGCTGACCACTCTTCCTCTCCTGCCCCTAGAATGTCCAGCTTCGTGGAGCCACCTGACATTGTGAAGAAGCTGTCCTGGGTAGAAAATTACTGGCCTGATGACGCATTGCTGGCCAAGCCTAAAGTGACCAAGTACTGCCTGATCTGTGTGAAGGACAGCTATACCGACTTCCATATCGACTCTGGGGGCGCCTCTGCCTGGTACCATGTGCTTAAGGTGAGCTGCACCCCTCAGGGCTCAGCTCGTCCTTGACGTGCCTGGCGCCCGTCTCTGAAGACTACAGTCCCTCCGTGTGGCCAGGAAGTTTCCCACAGGAGGGACATTGGGATGTCTGGCCCTGAGATAGGTCTGTGGAGACTGGTCAGGGTGCGTCAGGGACCAGTGACGTGCACATGCCTCCTTTTTCTAACAACTGGGTAAGGCCACTGGTGAAGAGGAGGAAGGGAGACAGGTATTGGGAAGACTTTCTGGAAAGAGGTTGGTCAGAGCCAGGTCACAGGGAGCCAGCGAGGCTGGGGCACAAACAGGAAAGCCAGAAGAAAAGGGAGACACAAATAATGGAAGCCCTAAGCTTAGGGCTCAACCAGCTGCAAGGTAACTATGTTTCTCTAGACTGCCTGGCGTGTGAGCTGGGGTGGTGGGCTCAGGTGCCAGTCGAGGCTATGAGGCCCTGAGCAATTCGCCTCCATGTCCTCTTAGCCATCTTTGACCCTCAGTGCGTGAGGATGAGGGCCTCACTGCTCTGGGTGCAGAATCCTGCCTGGGTCTGGGAGATGGCAGCCATCCTTTAATCTGCCCTAGGGGCTCAGCAGCTCTCAACAGTGGAGCTGCCAAGAACATGCTGGGTGCCTGCTCTCGGATTTATTCATCCCTTGGTAAACACACGTGCCATTTAGAGTGCCACAGAATAATGGCACATGGGGTAAACTTTATGAATTGCAAAGCAGCATTGTAGGGAGACATGGTGGGCTTGGTAGGATGCTTTCTAAGTCAGACTCCATCACCGGGTTCCCAGCAGCCCCTCGACGTGATGGGCTGTGCTCCCTCATGCCCCAGCGTCCCCAGCATTGGGTGGGTTCTACCCCTGCTTCCCTGGCATTGCGGCTCTGCCAATGGGCTCTCTCACAGGGGGAGAAGATCTTCTATCTCATCCGGCCAGCCTCCGCCAACATCTCCCTATATGAGCGGTGGCGGTCAGCCTCGAACCACAGCGAGATGTTCTTTGCCGACCAGGTGGACAAGTGTTACAAGTGCACCGTCAAGCAGGGCCAGACCCTCTTCATCCCCTCAGGTGAGCAGGGCTCCAGGGACATCGGGCTTGGGCTCACTGACCCTTGTCATGGTCACTGCTCTGTTCCCCTGTGCTGCATCTCTATCATTGGTGTCCTTGTGTCTCTGGCTGGCCACCTGCCCCAGCCCAGTCACTGTGGAAAGATCAAGCAGTTGGCTCCACAGCAGCATGAGATTTGGTGCTGGTCCTGTTCTGGTCAGTGCAGGGCTGCCTCAGTTTTGTGCAGCCGGCCTGGTCCCTGCAGCCTTATGGCCTGGCTGTCTACAGCCCAGGCCCCAGCATGGGAGATCAGTTCTCATTCCCTAGGTGGAGTCCCAGGCCCACACCACTGTGCCCAGGTTACTGATTGAGATGGGGGTCTTGTTGACTTTTTGCCCAGACTGACCTTGAACTGCATGATCCTCCTGATCTTCTGAGTAGTTGAGATTACAGGCATGAGCTATTGCACCGGTCTACAGTTTGACTGAATTTTAAGCCTTTGAATTTTTGCAGTTGCTAAGGCTCCTCCTTTCCTCCCTGGCTTCCTCACAGTCAGTTGTTTTGTGATGACCTATGGATTTCCTGGGGTCTGTCCCTGAGGATAACCCAGGGACAAAATCCCAGCTCCCAGGGAGAACACAGCCCAACTCTGTCTCTTGCTGCCCCTGCTTGTGCAGTTCTGGACTTAGGGTCATTATTTTTATTGTGGTGATGCCCTTGGGTGGCCTGAGCATGGCCCCCTGGCTCCTGGACCTCATTTCCCCTGTCTGCTTGTCACAGAGTTGGATTGAACAGTCTGTACTGACCTCAGGCATGGTCTCTCCTCCAACCCTCTCCGAGGGTGGGTGGTCCTGGGGCTAGGCTGACAAGACCTGGAGCCATATAGGCAGGAGGAAACTGGATAGGCAGCAGTGTGTGGGAGCAGGGTGGAGGCTACCTCACCTCTGTGTGTCTCTCCCAGGCTGGATTTATGCCACGCTCAGCCCCGTGGACTGCCTGGCCTTCGCGGGACATTTCCTCCACAGCCTGAGTGTGGAGATGCAGATGAGGTAGTGGCCACAGTGCCATATGCCCTCAAGCTTCTCCCTGACAAGGCCCCCCTCCACCTGGGTTGGTATGACCTTGGCCTGGCCTGGGTCCTGCCTGGGCCTGACCTGTGGGTGACGCTGGGCACCGCTGTCAGCCTTGCTGGTTCTCTTTGTGGTAAGAGGGGAGGGAGGCCCCTGAGGGGCTGGCACTGGACGGCCTAGTGGTTGGGTGTCATTGAATGCATTGCTCCTCTGGGTTTTGATTGAACTCCTTAGCCCAATGCCTCCACCCAGGCAGCCCTCTGATATGCCGCCCTGGTCCACTCAGCCATGTAGCGCCTAGTGGGGAAACCTGAGCTGGCCATGGCCTGGATTCACCCTCTAGCATGGCCTGCTTGGTGCTCTGTGCAGTGATTAATTGGTTCTTTTCTATGGCTTTTCTGTGGCTTCAGGGCATATGAAGTGGAAAGAAGGTTGAAACTGGGCAGCTTGACTCAGTTTCCCAACTTTGAAACTGCCTGCTGGTACATGGGGAAGCACCTGCTGGAGGCATTCAAAGGTACCTATCACTCTGGGTCAGGCACTGAGCCTGCAGCCCTCCTCTGCAGGGCGGCCACACCCAGGACTGGGCTCGCTCTCTTGTTCTGGGTGCTTGTTGCCTTTGTGTGGCCTCATCACATCCCCTCAGGACACACAGCCTGTGATGGGAATAAAAGGCACCTGGAGGTGTGCAGGGCCGTGGGCATGGCCTGTGGCCCATCTCCTGGCATGAGAGCAGTGCTGGGATACTGGGCAGAGGGAGGAGGCAGACCTCTTGCTCAGGGGCCTGCCAGCTAAGCGGGAGGCAAGTAGGGCGAGAATGGTAGAAGGGCTGGTTTTCCCCTTGCAGGGCCAGATGGATGGGCACCCCAGGTTCCAAGAGGAACCGTTGGCAGTTGGGCAGGTGGTTGTGGTACAAGCTTCTGGGAGGTGGGGCCCTTGTGCATCCCTGGACCTCTTGCGGGGCTGGGTTGCTCACCTGGCTAACCTACTGTCTCTTCCCCAGGTTCTCACAAATCTGGGAGACAGTTACCCTGTCATTTAGTCCAAGGAGCTAAAATTCTTAATGGTGCTTTCAGGTCATGGACGAAGAAGCAGGTAGGAAGCAGGTCACTTGTGTTCTTGGATGAGGGTGTGGGGGTGATGGTGGGAGCAAAGGCCAGGGTGTGCCCTACTCAGCAGGTGATAGGTGGTTGTCTTCCCATACTGGCCCAGAGCTGTCACCTACCCACTGCTGTCACTGACACACCCTGAGCGGTGTGGTCAATGGGTGCAGGTTTCAAAAGTTCCCTGTCCAGGGCTCCATGAGGGAGGGGTCTGGAGAGCAGCTGGCCCATTGACCAGGCATCTGGACCTGGATCAGAAGTGGTGGGGTTCTCTTAGTCCCTCCCTCTCAGAAGCCACACTCTGTGGTATGGGTGCAGTCCCCATCCAACTTGCTCTCTCTATGACCCCATGGCACTGATCTATCTGCTGGGGCATGTAAGAGCCAGTTTTGGATATCCTTTGTTTTGCCTGAGTTGAGTCTACAGAGGAGGGGTGGATCTAGCTCAGCCTCATGCAGTCTTGGGACATTGTCTCCTAGGGGCCAGTGCTGTTCAGAGCTCCCTGATCATTCACCACCTCAAAGAGGAGGGTTCCCACTCAGGTCAGGGAGGGTAAAACGGGTCCATGAGGACCTTCATGAGCAGCACACCTCACTCATGGCTGGGTTTGGAGGGCAGAGCAGTCAGAGTCCTCCCAGGGCCATTCTGCCGGCACCATCTCCCTTGGGCCTCAAGGCTGGGGCAGTCTTGGGCCCCTCCCACCTCCCTTCAACTGAATAGCTAGGAAGAAGGGGTGGGCCCCTCCTAGTCAGGAGAGGCCCTATCTTCCTGAAACCTGATGCATCTACCTTCTTGGGCAAGGTTCTAGGACCCCATGCATCCAGGCTCTGTTCCATGGCAGCCTCTCACCCTATGGCCATTGGGGTGGCCGTGGTCTTGGCTGGATAGGCAGGGATAGCCTGGAGAGGTATGGAGGGGCTGAACTGCAATGGCCAGAGCTGGTGCTGACCCTGCTCTCCACAGGCTTTGGCGGAGCATGAGGACGAACTCCCTGAGCACTTCAGACCCTCGCAGCTCATCAAGGACCTGGCCAGAGAGATCAGGCTCAGTGAGGTAGGCCATGCCTTGGCACCCGGCCAGACCCCTGGGGACGAGGGTGTCCTGCAGAAGTGCAGTATGTGGTCTTTGGGCCTGGGATCCAGCATGACTCAGAGGTGCCTGCCCAGAGCAGCTCATTTGCATGAGCTGGCTGGGCTCCTGCTATGCGCATGGAGGGAGGGAGAAGGGGACCTCCTGCATCCAAGCCCTGAGTCCCCACTTTCATGAAAAAAGAGCCCTGCAACCTCCTGTGCTTGGGTCAGGCAGAAGAGCTGGGGGACATAGGGCATCAGGTGGCTTTTGGTTTGGGAGATCAAGAGCGTACTGTACAGTTGTGTAGGGCAGGGTGAGTATGTCTCCTGATGGTGTGGCTGATGCGTGAGTGAATCACATGATGGCATGAGATACGATGAGCAGGTTTCGTGCCGGTGTGGGCTGCGTACACCTCCTGCATTGTGGTGTGAGGGTCTCCCGAGTTCTGGTGTGGGAGGATGCGTTCAACTACGGAAAACGCATATGTGACCCTCTTCTTTCCCCGCTCCAGAGCGCCTCCAAAGTCATCCGAGCAGAAGTGAACGCCGTCGCCTCCGCCGATGAGATCTGTGATGGGGACCGGGAGAAGGAAGAACCTCCGTCTCCCATTGAGGCCACCCCCCCTCGATCCCTCCTGGAGAAAGTGTCTAAAAAAAAGACTCCCAAGACTGTGAAGATGCCTAAGCCATCCAAAATCCCCAAGTCCCCAAAGTCCCCTAAGCCCTCGAAGGCCCCCAAAGCTCTGAAGCTCAAGGATGGAGGCAAGAAGAAAGGGAGGAAGTGCCGGGAGTCAGCCTCGCCCACCATCCCCAACTTGGACCTGCTGGAGGCCCACACCAAGGAGGCGCTGACCAAGATGGAGCCACCCAAGAAGAGCAAGGTGGGACCGCCGCACCACCACTCCTAGGCACTGAGGCACCTGCTAGGGCTTCTAGCTTGGCGGGAAGGGGCAGCAGTTGTGGGGTGAGGTTCCTAGAGAATGTGGAGGTCTGGAGTCTTGCCGTGGGGGCAGTGAACGTGCTTCCCTGCCTGCTCCTCACCCAGGCCTGCACATCCAGCCCAGACACCAGGTGGGCAGGCTGTGCCCTTGTGAGCCCTGGCAGGTTCTCCCAGAGAGGTGGAACAGTTTGAACTGTAGCAGGGGTGGCACATGGGAGAGCTAGAGAGGTCTTCCATGAGGGGCTGACCCTACTTAGTCTTCCCAGCCAGGTCAGAGGTTGCCAGGGGGCCAAGAAGCTGTCCCTGGGGCAGGGAGTGCTGGTGAAGGGGAAAGGGATTTGGAGGGCAGAGGAAGGGTTGTCCACGTGTGGACAGTGAGAGAGATGGGCCCAGCCCTGGGACCCACTTTGACCCATGTCCTAGGTCTGGGTTTCAGGAACCTGAGCTCCTGAGACCAAGCACCACTGAGTGTGAACTCCTTCCAGGGGGAGCTCATTTTACCACTCCTCTCCCACACTGCTTGGGGGGCTGTCCTCACAGCACTGCAGTGGGACACATTGGGACTGTCTTTCTGCATGAGGGCTGAGAATGGATGAACAAATGGATGGGCAAACGAACAGACGGAAGAATGGGTAGACATGCATAAGTGAATGAACAGATGGATGAAGAAATGGCTAATGAATGGATGGGTGGATGGTGGGCAAATGGGTGAACGAATGAGTGAACGGTTGGGTGTAACCACTGTTGAGTGGATGAACAGGTAGATGAATGAATGGGACCCAAGGGAGTCCTACTTGCTTTCCATGTCTGCCTTTGGATCACAACTGAACTGAACTGTTTTCTAGGCCCCAAAGAGTGCCCTGAGTGTTCCCAACAAGGACACGGTCCACACACAGAATGATGTAGAGAGGCTGGAAATCCGTGAGCAAACTAAGAGCAAGTCAGAGGCCAAGTGGAAGTACAAGGTGAGAAGTGTGCATGTGCATGTGTGCAGTGAGTTGGGCAGAGATGTGAACCTGGGAGGCGTGTGTAGGTGTGTGTCTACCTGACCCTAGGAGTGGTGCCAGGGCATGTGTGTGTGTGGCCTCTCATGGGCCACTCTCTGTGGAACAGCGTGGGTGCAGGGGCCCAGCTTGCCACCCTCCATATGGATGGCATTTTTGTTCACCATTTTCACTGCCCCAGTTCTAGTTTGTGCTCCCATGCCATGGCATCTGGGCAGCATCTGAAGGCAGGTCCTGCAGGCCGGGGGGCCAAGCAGCTGTTGTAGCTGCAAGTGACGTTCCCCTGCCTGTTCCTGGCCACTGCCTCTGCCCACTGCCATAGGTTGGGGTCCTGGTCCCCTGCTTCAGGGTGGGCTCAGGGACAGCCCTGGTCTTGCTTTCAGAACAGCAAACCTGACTCCTTACTGAAGATGGAGGAGGAACAGAAGTTGGAGAAGTCACCCCTGGCCGGAAACAAGGACAAGTTCTCCTTTTCTTTCTCCAACAAGAAACTCCTGGGGTATGTGAGGGCTTGGGTGACAGGGCAGCCATGCAGGCATCCCACACTCCACTCGTGTCCCCCACACCATGCACGCACCCCACGTCACACATACACAAACATTGCATGCATCCTGCACCACACAGTTATCCCACATCATACACAAACATGTTATTGCACCATATACCCCCCAAACACCCCACATAGAGATATGCACATGCTCACATCACATACACACAAGCCGCATATACACCAAGACATACCATATTGTACACATAGCGCACACACACACACACACACACACACACACACAGAGCACAAACACATCACACTGTGCACACTCACACACAGAGCACAAACACATCACACTGTGCACACTCACAGCCTTTGGCTGACATACCCTGGGTGGACTTTTCCCCTCCCAGCCTCTGATCTCACTCACTGCATCTCTGTGTGTGCCATACCTTTGTCAGGGCCCAGGCCCCAGGGGAGCCGTGTCTCTGTTTCTACTGTGCTCCATGTGCAGAGTGGGCTGGAGAGGCAGGTAGGCTGGGAGGGTGCAGCCTGCAGTGAGTGACTTTGTGAGCTGGTGCTGCAGATAAGTGGGGTCAGGTCCCAGCTCTCTGATCCCAGTGACCAGTGGCATGGAGTAATGTAAACCCAGTAATCTTATAAATCCACCCAAAATGATGGCTGTGATAGGTGTCATGGGAGAGGATTTGTGGGCCCCTGGGTGCTGAGGCCCTGGGCTATCTGGGAGTCGGGGACTTTTTGCAGGAGGTGATACTCAGCTAAGAGCTGGAGGGCGCCAACTGGGAGCTAGGCAGGCCTCAGCACAGGAGTGAGGCGGTGAGGGCTGATTGGGCCATGAAAGCCTCCTGGTTCCAGCTGCAGGTGGTCAGGTCTGCCTGGGCTCAGCAACACACTGAATATCCTGCTGAGATGTCCCCATTGCCTGCTGAGTCAGATAGGTCCCCATGAGAGAGGCGGCCACCTGTCTTGACCTGTCTGGGTCTCAGTTTTCTGGTCTGAGAGATGGAAGGAGAAAGCCTCCTCCTGGGTGGTGGAGAAGCAGGAACAGGTGCCAGCAAAGAGCCTGGCAAGGGCAGGAGGTGGGGTGGGGTCCCAGGTGCTCAGTAGGAGGTAGAGCCTGCCTGAGTCTCGTCTTGCTGTTAGGATTTGATGGCCTTGCATGTGTCACTTAACTTTACTGGGAGCATTGATTCCGGGCCCCAAGGAAGCTTTCAGTTACGTCGGTTCTTTTATGGGGCAGTAGAGTTTAGAAAATGGAGTCTAGAACGTTGAATAAGTATGACTCCTAGCCACGTGTGCATGTGTGGATGTGTTCTGTGGCCCGGCCACTAAAGGTGTCAGAGGCATTCGTGGCTATGGTGTGCTGTCCGTATTTCACTCTGCTAAGAATTGGAGCTATGTCTGCTTGAAGTTCCAAACATTTTACCTGGGCCTGCTGTCTCTCCTCATGAGAAAAACCTTCCTGAAGCCCCCTGGAGAGGCGCAGGCCAGAGCTGCTCAAAGGTGGAGAATGTAGGAGCCTTCTTGCCTGGCGCAGTCCTGTCTTGCCTTGTCAGGGAGACTTGTCGCGCAATATTTCTTAGACAGCTCATGTGCATAGTGGTCTGGCCCCTGAAGTTATTTTTCCAGACTAACTCTGCGGAGAATTCCTACAGCCCCAGTGTGGTCTCTTGTCACCAGCTGCTTGACCTCAAGAGGATGCTCAGGTCTAAGTCCCCTGGGAGGTCCACCTACCCACCCATCTCGGGGGATGTGGGGACACTGCTGACCCTCTCCCTTTTTCTTTCTTTTTTTTTTTTTTTTGTGGTACTGGGGCTTAAAGTCAGGGCCTTCACCTTGAGCCACTCCACCAGCCCTATTTTTGTGAAAGGTTTTTCGAGATAGGGGCTTGTGAACTGTTTGCCCTGGCTGGCTTCGAACTGCGATCCTTCTGATCTCTGTCTCCTGAGTAGCTAGGATTACAGGCGTGAGCCACTGGTGCCCGGCCAACCCTCTCCCTTCTTTACTGCTCTAGCTCCAAGGCTCTCAGGCCGCCCACGAGCCCTGGTGTGTTCGGGGCCTTGCAGAACTTCAAGGAGGACAAGGCCAAGCCCGTGCGGGATGAGTATGAGTATGTGTCTGATGACGGGGAACTCAAGATCGACGAGTTTCCCATCAGGAGGAAGAAGAATGCCCCGAAAAGGGACTTGTCCTGTGAGTGGGGAGGGGATGTGGGCAGGAGATTCGGGGAAGGCCCAGCCTGGCCCTAAAAGAGGTCAGTGTGTGGCTGGCTCCATCTAAGGCCCCTGCTGGACTCCTGTCTGCTCTGCTTTCAGTCTTATTGGACAAGAAGGAGGTGCTTCCCACGCCTGTCACAAAGCCAAAGCTGGACTCAGCGGTGTACAAGGTGAGCTGCCTTCCGGGACCGCTCTGTGTGTCCTGCTCTGTTGGTCCCCACTCTGTCTGGGTGACTCCATGACTTTGACCCTCAGTGGGAAGGTCTGTTTGTTTCTGCTGAGGAGGTAAGGGGTGTTCATTCTCCCCTGCCCTCTTCTCAGTGTTCTCAGGAGGGGGCCGTGGGCTAGGCTCAGATGTGGGGTTGGCATCGGAGAAATGAATGCTTCCCTGAGTCCTTGGCCACCAGGATTGCAGAGCTGCTCCCCAGTTGCATTTATTTCCCTGCAAGGAAGGGAAATCAATGCAACAAGACCTGCCCAGGTTGGGAGGCTAGGGACTGGGGACCTGCTATGGGGATATCAGACTAACTAAGATGACCTCTAAAGCTGTGTCCAAGTCTGTGATGCAGTGGTCTTAAGGAGTGAGGGCCCTGCTGGGATCCCATGCTTCCTGGGAGCCACCCTTCAGAGAAGCTCATCTGGATCTGAGGCTGTTACCAGGGCCTGGGGTTCCTGGGGTGGGGGTGGGGAGGCTGCGCCCCTCTGGTCACAGCAGATACATGTCTTCTGTGTGTCCAGGTGAAACACTGGCTCTCACTTTGTTGGTGTAAAGGTGTCTGAGAGCCAGACTTCTTCCGTGAAATTAGTGTGAGGCGTGAGGACAGCTCGGTCCTTTGTGGTCTTGGGGAAGCTTGGCACTCAAGTTTGCCCTAAGCATTTGACCAGCTGCTTCCTCAGCACCAGGGCTCCTGTCAGGCCCAGCAGTACCTTAGAAGAACAAGACTCATTAGAACTTATTTTTCTCCTTCATGGGAAAAAGTACTTCCCCCACCCCAAACTCCTGCCCTGACCAGCTGCTTTGTCCGTGCACAGCAGAGCGATGACTCCTCAGATGAGGGCTCGCTGCACATCGACACGGACACCAAGCCCAGCCGCAACGCCAAAGTCAAGAAGGAGAGCGGGAGCTCTGCAGCCGGCATCCTGGACCTGCTGCAGGCCAGTGAGGAGGTCGGGGCGCTCGAGTACACCCCCAACAGGTGGGCCCCAGCTGTGCCGGGCGGCACCCGCAGGGTCTTAGATTCCAGAAAACTGGATTTTCTTGAAGGGCTGGGGTTCATGTTTCTCTTGATGGTCCCGGTTAAATTCTGTGAGTCACAAGTTGTCACTCTGGGTTGTGATCTCTTGACCGTTCCTTTTTCTCATGGAAAGCTTAGTGGGACTTTCACATATGCCACTGACCAAGGGGTAGATAGCCAAGGGGGCATAGCCTGCACCCCACCCAACACCCTGTAGGACACACGTGGATGCTTCAGCCTCTGTGGAGAGGGGCGATTCCTTCCCAGTCCTCTTGGTCTCAAGACAGCTGAAAATTTCCACTGCACAGTTGGGGAAACTAAGACTCAGAGAGCTTAGATAACTTGCTGGTGTCACCACAGCTGGAAGTGGCCCAGGTTCTCATCTGCCTGAGTCAGGAACCTGAGCTTAGAGTCCCTGAATGGTTGTGGGGTGCTAGCTTGTGATGTCTGCTGCTGGATTGGGATGTCATGCCTTGTCCAGAGGAAGGAGGGGCTGTGGGACTACTGGGTGCCTGCTTGGTTGGTTCTCCAGATCTGACCCCTTGGTCTCTGTGCTACTGGCCCCTCAACCCAGCCCTGAGAGCTGCTTGGGCAGGTGGAGACCAGATCAGACTTGCTCTTGGATGCCAGAGGGTTCCAGTGAGGTGGAGTAAGGACTTGATTGAAAAGAGTCAGTTGGCTGTATTTTATTTCATAAATTACTGTTTTTCATGTGGTGTTACATTCACAGCCAGCCAGCTGTGGGTGCTTTCTTTTCATAGGAGTGAAGCCTGACTGCAAGGGACCGCAGGGCCTTGGGGTACAGATTTCTTTCTTGCTATGAGGTGGTTTCTGTTCTGTCCTCCTGTGGAGAGGAGCTATGAAGCAGGCTGGCTGCATCTCCCTACTGTGCTCTCCCCCCGCTCCCCCTGCCCACTGCCACCCTCCTCACTGGAGGCTGTGGCCCTGCCTTGGGGCCCCACACAGCCCTCTGGGGGATGCCTGTCTCCTGAGAGGAAGCATGCACTAGACACCTTCATGACTGATCTCACCTGAGGTCCCCCGACATCTTGGTCCCCTGACATCTTGGTCTCCCTGTGACCTCCAAGGAGAAGCCTGGGAGGCCAGGGACGGGATGAGCCCAAGGCCACCCAGGATGATGATGATGAGATCAGCACTCAGACAGAGCTGAGAGCTAAGCCTTGTCTTAGGTGCTATAGAGAAGGAACTCTGGAGAGGTATAGAAATAGGGACACAGATGGGGGGGCATCTGTGAGGAGGTTTTGTGTCTGAGTTCAGGAGGGGCAGCCCATCTGCTAATGAGAAGCCCAGAGCAGCTCCTGCCTCTGCATCCCATCTCTGGGGAGCACACCCTGCAGACGCCGAGTGTGTCCTCACACATGTGCACACGTGCCTGCCAGGGCCTCCGAGGCTGTCCCCCCAATCTCCCCCTCCCAAGCCTGCCGCAGGCAGTTCCTTTCTCAAAGTCTCCCATTTGGAGTGTAGGTCAGTTTTTGATGGTCCATTTGCTCTGTTTTAAGTACGGGCCGTTTGGAAAATACAGCTGAAGAAAATGGAGGAAAATATGTTAATTTCTTGTGGACGGTTTGCTTGGTATTTACCGCTGGGGGAAGAAGAGGGGATTTTGGTATGATAATTGGAGGATTAAAGTATTATTTTCCATGCTGACTGCTTAAACTTTGCTCATTGATTCACCAGCGACCTCGTAGACAGCCAGGCCGCTGGGCGTGCGGTCTTCACCCTCTGGGGTCAGCCAGATGGCACAGGTGGGCAGCTCACCTCCACGCAGGTGCCAGTGGGGGCACCCTCCTAGTGGGTGTCCTGGCTTCCCCCCATGGCTTGGGTTGGGGGCAGGGGAGGGCCTAGTGCAGAGTGCAAGGTGAGCTATTGCCTTTGTTGGTGGCCTGCTCCTGCTCAGGATGGTGGCAAGCAGGGCAGCTGGCCTGCAGCACCATGGCCCAAACAGCGCAGATGGTACAGGGCAGGGCTTCATTGGGGCAGCTCCCGACAACGCCTTCCCTGGAGCTCATCACTGCTGACCATTGGTTTTCCTTTGCTGTGACTTTGGCCTGAGAAGCAGCTTTTGTGAAGGACTGTGAAAAAGAGTGACCGACCCCTTCTCCCTGGGCTCAGTCAGAGAAAGTTCCCTGTGAATCTATGGGATCCTCAGCTAGCCTCCAGCACGGTCCCTTGAGGACAGCTCTCATCCTAGTTTGTATGGCCAGCTCCAGGATGGTCTGTGCTCACTGGCGGCAGCTCCATCTCCTTTCCCCCTCCACAGGGCTCAGCCTCTGGAACCCTCTTGCTTCTTGCAGTAGCTTTCCCTGTCTTATCAGCCTGGGCTGGATAGCCTGGGCATCACTGCCTCAGCCTCCCCTTCTTTTTCTTTTTTTAAATTGAGACAGACTCTTTCTATGTAGCCCAGGCTGACCTCAAACTTGTGACCCATGTGCTGGGATTACAGGCATGTACCACCATGCCCAGCTCACCTCTTCTTTTTCATCTCACACATGTGCCATCTCCAGTGGGTGCATGAGCCCATATGCAGAAGGGCACAGGGGTCTGCACAGTGCCTGTGTGCCTGCATGGCCACTTGCAGTTAGTATTCTGGTCCTGGGCTTGTCACATCTCTTAACCCACCCTCTTCTCTTGGTGGCTAAAATGCCACATGCTTCAACAGCGTTCCAAATATCTGGGTGTGGCGGGGTAGGCGATAGAGAATGAGGACATCAGGGGAAAGGATGACACTGATGCAGTGGGAATTCTGCGTGCCTCTGGTTTAGCCCCATGACCACTCAGGCGCAGTGACAGGTGTGGCCGGTCCTGGTGGTGCCCCTGCCTAGGACTGTGGTCAGAGTTAGCACAGGGTGACCCAAGAGGTGTGCGGAGCTGGCAGGAGGACAGGAAGCTGAGTGTGCTGGCCAAGTCTAAGGTAGAGAGTCTCGTGCGTGATCATGCTAGACCTGGGCCTTCCAAACCATCGCTGTCAAAAGGCCTCCTGCCCTCCCTGGAGTGTGTCCAGATGAGCAGAGGGGGCTGCCTAGCTTTTTCCATGGGGAAGTTTTCAGCCCACGCCACTCTGTGCCCTCTGCTGGCCTCCTGGGCGAGGTGTTTTGTAGCCCAGGGGCTGGAGGCTGCAGTGGTCTATGGGCTGTGAGCTTCAAGCTTATAGCTCTGGTTCAAGTGCCCTGGGCTGAGGGCGGTGGTCTTGTGTACCCTGGGCTATGGGCCAAGGGCCACTGCTGAATGAAATGCCTCCCTCTGTGTCCGCAGCCAGCCCCCTGCCTCCCCCAGCACACAGGAGGCCATTCAGGGAATGCTGTCCATGGCCAACCTCCAGGCCTCTGACTCCTGCCTGCAGACCACGTGGGGTGCTGGCCAGCCCAAGGGCGCTTCGCTGTCGGCCCATGGTGCCCGGAAGAACGGGGGCGGAGGCAAGAGCACGGGCAAGCGGCTGTTGAAGAGGGCCGCCAAGAACAGTGTGGACCTGGATGACTATGAGGAGGAGCAGGACCACTTGGACGCCTGCTTCAAGGACTCCGACTATGGTGAGCATTGCCGCTGGGGGAGGGGCAGTGGGGCCAGAGCCCACGGCAGGCAGAACCTGGGGGCTGTGCCCACTGGGAGCCTGGCCCCTGTTTGCTTTGAGATGTAATGCAGAGACCATAAAAATCCTTAATTTGGTATCTTTAGAGCTGTACGCAACCGTAGCCATGGTCAATTTCAATTTCAGAACGTCTTATCTGCCCCCCCCCAAAGGAAACCCTGTCCCCATTAACAGTCACGCCCCATCCCCTCTTTCTCAGTCCCTGGCAACCCATAATGTGCTTTAAGTCCTATGAATTTACCTGGACATTCTATGTCAACGGATAGAAGAATATGTGACCTTTCATAGCTGGTTTATTTCACTCAGCAGAAAGTCCTCAAGGTTCACCCACATCGTGGCATTGTGCCATAGTTCCCTTCTTTTGTTATGCCATCCTGTGATGCAGCCTGTGCTGTTTATCCACACAGCCTTTGAAGGGCCCTTGGGTTCTTGGTTGCTGTGAACAGTGCTGCACAGGTGTGTGCACACATGCACAGGTTGCTTTATGGACCTCTGCCCTCTGCCCTTTGGCTGTGTTCCTAGGAGGGCATAGTCAGGGTCACAGGTCTCTGTATTTAGCTTTCTGAGGACCTGCTTGGCAGGTTTCAACTGTGAGATGCAGAAAGTGAGGCCCAAGGTGACCCTGTGGCCACACCTGAGGTCAGACAGTGAATCAGGCACTGGATGTGGCTCTGACCTGTGCCGTGGGAATAGACCTCCGCTTTCTACCAGACCAACTGGTGTGGATCAGGCCAGGCTCTAGATGAGCCGTGTTCAGACACAGTAGAGGACCTGAGGGCAAGGGCCTGCCCCCACCTCGGGATGTCCCAGCACACTGGCACAGTGTACTGGCCAGGCTCACTGCTCCCAGGCAGGGCACAGTGTACTGGCCAGGCTCACTGCTCCCAGGCAGGGCACAGTGTACTGGCCAGGCTCACTGCTCCCAGGCAGGGCACAGTGTACTGGCCAGGCTCACTGCTCCCAGACAGGACATGCCTTGGCGTAGTTCACACCCTTTTTTAACACCTGTGCTAATGGCCAGAGGCCGGGGTTTTGCCGAGCTGGACCTCTGTGAGTTGGCGGCTCCCGTGGGGGAAGCAGGCCCTGCCCCACATCTGGTGGACAGATTTGAGCCTCAAGGCAGGGTCCACGATCTGGTTTGACAAAGAGACTGACAGCAAAGTGAACTACTGTTTTCTGCACTTTTTCGGGGTGTGGAGCATCAGGCTCCTGCTGCTGCCTCCAAAATTATGGTCCTAGAGCTTCCTCAACAGCCCTTGGAGACCGCAGTGCAGGGGCCACCAGCAAGTTACCATGTCAGGGCAACTCCCACTGCCACCTCTGCTCCTGTGCAGCACCCCAAGACACACTGGACAGTTCTTGGTGGGGCTTCAGAACCCACCCAGCTCCCTGGACCTTTATTATCGTCTTCTTGGATAACAGCTAAGATTTCACCTAATACACCATTCCTGGAGCCTGAGTATTTCTCCCCTGGGCACTGGATACCCTAGGGAACTTGGCCCCGTTCCTCCACGGTGGGCCTTCAGGGTCTTGGGCTCTGGGAACAGTTCAGGCTGGTGGTCCTGAGAGGTAAGGGGTTTCGGGCTCCAGGCAGACTGAGGCGGCCCTGGTGGGTTGGGTTAGTGCCCTGTGCTGTGTAGTTTCCACTGCACGGCAGGCCTAGAACAGGCCTGGTGCCACCACCAGTCAGGAAGGTCTGCTGGCCACCACAGCCCCTGCTGCACCACTGCACCTGGAGGCTCAGGGGCCTGTCCTCCCTCTGCCTCCCTCAGTTTACCCCTCACTGGAGTCTGACGAAGACAACCCTGTCTTCAAGTCTCGGTCAAAGAAGAGGAAAGGCTCGGACGATGCTCCCTACAGCCCCACAGGTAGTGTTGTGGAGGTGGGGACCCTGACGCCTGTTGAGGGCAGCTGTATCCTCATCATCTGTCATCTCTGTGCCACTGAGGATGGGCTCAGCTCTGTGCCCATGCACATGCTGCATGTCCTGTCCGGAGTGGATCAGCTGCTTAGAGGAGCACAACTGGGGCTCTGCCTCATGTCTCAGGACCCCAAGCCCAGACTCCACTCACAAGCCTCCCCCTTGGGCCAGTCCCTCCTCTCTAGTGCCTTCCTCAATGAGTAGTTGTGTGACGGGCACCTTTTACCTGGTGGTACCTCCTTTATGGTGGCTGAGGGATACCTGCTGGGGTGGCCAGTGGGATGGGGGTCGTGTCTACCTTCCATGAGACCCTACAGCAGCCAGGCTGTCTGCTCCCAGCTTGCTGGGTCCCCAGGCTCTGCCTTGTGAACATCCCGGTGGGGCACCCACCCCTTGTGTTGTGATATGGCTTCCTACCCAGGGAACCAGGTGGTTAGGGTTCCCCAGACACTTGGATGGGCTGGGGTACGAGGGGTGGGTAGGCTGTGGCTGGAAGCTGAGGGGCTGGTCCTTCTTTTCCACAGCAAGGGTCGGCCCATCAGTGCCGAGGCAGGACAGGCCTGTGCGTGAGGGGACCAGAGTGGCCTCCATCGAGACCGGGCTGGCAGCCGCTGCGGCTAAGTTGTCCCAGCAGGTGAGGAGGGGTTGAGGGGATCCTCACTGAGGCCAGAACGCCATTGCCTTCACCTGCGCTGACCTCCCCAGCACCACCATATCTTGGTCCCATGTGCTGACCTTCTGGACTAAAGGCCGTCTGGCTTGAGGTCATTAGATGATGGAGTGGCCCATTTCTCCTGGCCCCAATTCTGACTGGGGGATAGAGGAGCCAGGAGTGACAACCTGGGCCCCTTACCCCAGGCAGGTGCCTCTTTCTGCGGCGGGGCTGCTCTGGAGTGCAGAGGGAGACCCAGAAGGCTCCACACCCCTCTTCCCACCTTTGACACCCCTGAGTGGGGGCCCTCTGTCTCCCCAGGGAACTGGCATTCTCAGTTTGTTCTCACGGTCAAGAGCTGGTGGCCTGTCTCCATATTCTCTTCTCTTCCAATCTTGTTGGCTACCTCCAGCTCCTTTCAGCCCAGGACTCCAGGTGCCCCCTGCCCCAGGCCCCACAGCATCTGGGTACCCAAAGAAGCTCATGGGATGAAAGTGAATAACCTTCCAGAACCTTCCAGCTCAGCGTGGGGTGCCAGCATGGTGTGGCCTGTCCATGCACCCAGCCGCCAAGTGACCATATACGTACCACAGGTGCCCAGCACCAGTGTCACATCTCGGTGCAGCCCGTGTCTGAGGGCAGCTCAGGTTTCAGCCCTGAGTCCTCTGCTGCTTGGCACAGATGCACCTGAGGGCTTAGCTCCCAGACTGGGGAGCCCAGTGCTGTCGGACAGGTTTACAGTGGCCCTTTCTGCTCCCCAGTATCATGGCAGAGACCTCTTGACCACAGCGCTCCACCATTTCCAAGGTCTGAGCTTTTTCCATGGCTTGCATCTGGGTGGAGGCCATGCTGGCTGCCCACCACTCTGATGGCCAAGCAGGGTGTGTACTTGAGGCTGCTCTGTGGGTAACCTGCCTGCATGCTTTGTTCAAAGGAGGAACAAAAAAGCCGGAAGAAGAAGAGCACCAAAAGGAAGCTGCCTTCTAACACTGCCTCTGCCCCCACCTCCACCTCCACCTCCGCCTCCGCCTCCGCCTCCGCCTCCGCCTCCACAGGCAGCACCTCTGCCTCCACCACGCCAGCCTCCACCACGCCGGCCTCTACCACCCCGGCCTCCACCACCCCGGCCTCTACCAGCACAGCCAGTAGCCAGGCTTCACAGGAGGGCAGCTCGCCTGAGCCCCCACCTGAGTCACACAGCAGTAGCCTGGCCGACCATGAGTACACAGCAGCTGGCGCCTTTGCAGGGACCCAGGCTGGCCGCACCTCCCAGCCCATGGCCCCCGGAGTCTTTCTCACACAGAGACGGCCTTCTGCGTCATCCCCCAACAACAACACTGCTGCCAAAGGTACCCAGGCCCTGCCTGACCCACTACCAGGCCCTCAGGAGGCCCCAGACTCTCAGATCCTGTCCTTGGTCCCGATACTGGGGTCTGAGTTAGTCCCCGTCCAAACAGCTGCGCGCCCGACTGCACTTCACACAAGTGTTTGCAGCTGGCTGGGCCCAGTCACCGTGTGAAGACAGTAGCCTCTGACACTTAGGAGATGGGGACCTGGAGGGGTTCTCTGATCATTGTGCATCTGGTTGAGGTCCTCAGCTGAGGGTCTGACAGGGAGTCTGTATGTGGTCAGCCATTTGCTGAGGGTGGGGCCGGGAGCAACCCACCCGAGATGAGCCAGGTCCCGGGTGCTGGCTCCTCTGTGTGGGTTCGCCTGTAATGGCCAGCCAAGTCCCTTGCCATCCATCTCCAGCTTCTGCTAACTGTTGGGCCTTCCTGGTCCCCAGCAGCCTGCACGCTGGCTGTGGGAAAGGCCTGGCGCTGGCAGTGGCTTGAGATGGCCTTGTTGCCAGGGGGTGGGGTCCAGCGTGGCCTCACGTCCTGATAACGCTGCTCTGAGCCGAGTCCATTGCAGATGCAGCAGCCTCCAAGCTGGGCACTGGGATGAGGCGGTTGCGAGCTGCCGGTCAGTGTCTGTGGGAGTCCACCCCACGTTCTGCTTTCTTTGCCATCTCACTCCTTCTTTTCTGTGTCCCCCATCCCCACCCCACAGGAAAACGGACAAAAAAGGGCATGGCCACCGCGAAGCAGAGGCTTGGAAAAATTTTGAAAATTCACCGGAATGGAAAACTGCTCCTTTAAAGTCTGGAAAGCCAGGATCCTTCTGCTCTGCTCAGGACCCCCCGGAGCCCCGCTAAAACATCAGCGCCCCACCCCAAGGAGGGTGGCCAGCTGCCTCACCCAGGGAGGGCCTCACCTCCTCCCAGCCACCACTCCCCCCAAAAGAGCGTCTGTCCCTTGAGCAGGCGGAGTGAGCTGAGAGTGGCCGTCCCTCGTTTTGAATATGGACGTCCTTTCTCAAATTGCTTAGAGTGACCAGTTTCTGAAAAGCGGCCCTACCAGTTTGAGGACCATTCCAGTTTCAGGACAGCCTCCAGGCACCACAGAGCGTGGGTTTGATTGCAGGGTCTTTGCAGCTCTGCTGGGATCATGAGTCCTTCAAGGAAGGTGGAGTGAGCCAATGCTCGCCAGCCCCCAGAGTCTGAGCTGGCCACAGGCTGGTAGCCTCCAAAGGCTTAAAACAAGGCAAAGAACACAGAATGAGGAGGAGCACGTGGGATATTTATGTGCCCCCTTCCCATCTCTTCCCGAGTGATTCTCAGACAGTTCCGCAGAGCACTCAGCGGTCAAGGAGAGGTCTGCCCCGAGCTCCCCATCTGGCAGGTGGCAGGCTGGGCAGTGGGTGTTAACTCTCTGAATGCCCAGAGACACCTCTCTGGGAGGCTAGGATCAGCAGCTGGGTCGGGGAGTCAGTGGGTTGGAGGAGCCATCGGGGAGTTCCCCAGGGAAGGGTGAGGGCTCAGCCACACCTTGGGGTCCAGGGGACCCAGGCCAAGCCACATGGAAGGGCCCTGTCCAGCTCTGCTGGCCACACTCTGGAGAAGCACTTCTCAGCCAAGGCCCCCTGCCCTGAGATCGCAGAGCGGGTGGTGGCCAGGTGGCTTGAGCACGCACGGACAGGCACTTGTCTGCTCACGGTGTGGGCCCGTGGCGCATGAGCGTGGGCTACCCCTGGATGGTGTGTGTCTGCCCACTGACACCAAGGGGCTGGGTTTGTTTCTCAGGCAATCCTGTATTTTAATTTTAGATGTATTTCCTGAGGCATATTTTTCATAGAATGTAGCGTGTAAATAGCTTTTTAAATGACTTCTTTTTTATAAGAGTAAAAGTATCTAGGAATTTCTTTCTATAGGGTCCTTCATTAACCTTTCTACGAGTTTTTTGCCGACTCTGACGGACAGTTGGGTTACATTTTCCTTTGTCCTTCTTTCCTGTTGTTATTATTCTTACTCTTATTTTTCTTTTAGGAACTAAGGTATTGCCTGAAAAACAAGTGGCTGAAAAACAAGAGAGCCTTATACTCTGTCTCTACAGAAGCCAACAGCACACAGGACATCTGTTTTCAGACACGTTTCGAAGACGAGTCTTCAACTCTCATACCAGCTCTTTGTTTCCTTCTTGTATGACGACGGGCGGGGATTCAGTTATTTTACTAGCACCTTGTGAAGTGTTTCTGTGTTTTGTGATGCTGTAATTTATTAATGTTTGTAGCTTTTTATATTTGTACATTTCTTACGAGCTTTGTTTATACGCCCATCCCCTGCGTGTTTTGTTCATGAGGAGAGGCAGCTTGGTTGGAGGCCTTATAAGCTCCCACGTACTGTGAGCAGGGACACCACCGTCCCCAGGGCCCGTGGCCGGGCGGGGGAGTCTCACGGCCCCAGGCTACTCAGACTGGTGTTTTTAAAGTTTCCTTTCCCCTGTCCTGTGACCATTTATATAATCTAACCCGGGCATCAAGCTGTTCTCTCTCTCTCTTTCTCTCTCTCTCTCTCCCTCTCTCTTTTTAATTTTATTATTATTTTGGCAACATGTACATTTCTAACAAAGTTTATCGTGGCTATTAAAGTGTTTTATTTCCCAATTCATATTACTCTTGTATCGAGTCCATGAGGTCTAAGACTACTTAGACCAAAGTTTTAAGAAAAAAAAAAAGTAAAAATATTTCAGGTTTTGTACAGAATCATGTCTGTGTCATTTCTACCTCATTCACGGTCCTCAGCAGCTGGCATCGCAGTTGCGGGGGGTCTGTCCCCCACTTAGGTCTTGGCCACCAGTGTGTGCAGGGAGAGTTTGGCATGTTTCCAGAAGCCGCCCGTGTCCATGTCCCCAGCTGGCTGGCAGGAGTAGGGAGAAGAGCTCCTGGGCCCTCAGGGCGGCAGACCCAACCCTACACTCTGGTGGTCTGTTGAGCCTTCCTGCGTACTGGGCTGCACACAACAAACCCACAGGACCAGCCCTGTCCTGTCAGTGGCACTCTGAAGTGACAGGACAGGGACGGTGCCGTGGTGGGGCGGCACAGGGTGACACTGCGTGTGGGGGCTGATGACAGCGACGCTTGGGGCCTCCAGCAGTGCCTGGAGAGTGGCCTGACCTCCGGCCACACCCGCTAAGCAAGTCCCTGTGTGGATCCCAGGTCCGTATGCTCATGGGTTTCACCTGGTGACAGCAAACGGAGCTGGCACACGGACTCCAATGTTCAGATAAGGGACTGGACACGAGGTCGCCCAGTGTGCAGGGAACCAAGTCAGGGTCATCCACCTGCCAACTCCCTGAGCAAGCTGGGAGTAGATGCCCCAGGGAGCCCTGGCTGCCTGCCCCGAGCACACTGCCGCAACCGTGGGTGCGATTCATTTGTGCCCTTTGTTAGGTACCGTGGTATGACCTTGGCCAAGTCCCTTTTCTATGAGCTTTGGTTTCCATCCTCCCCGCCCCTCCCCCGCACAGATGCTCAAGGCAGATGCTCCAATCCTGAACCCTGTGACTGCACCACTGGAGGGACCTTACAGAAAGCTGGGGCCATGGGAAGGGGGTGGGTCCTGGGGCTGCCACCAGGTGGTGCCCTGGGCCCACGCTCAGCTGCAGGCTGCCAGGCACTCATGGCCCAGGCCCCAGCAAGAGGTGGGTGGCCTTGCAACCCCCAGCCGGAGGGAGATCACCTTAGGGCTGCCCCAGGGGTCTCCACAGCCACCAGGAGACGGTGTCCCACCCTGCACTTCTCTGCTGTGCAGCCCTCCAGGCTCAAATTAGCAGGGTCCCTGAGCCCTGTGTTCCTGGAGCTGAACCACTGGGTGCTGGTCCACGTGCCCCTTACCAGTGTGGCTGTGAGAACTGACTTTCGGAGCTAGGGGCCCCAGGAGGAGCTCCCAGAAGCCACTGCCTCCCCCAGGGCCTGTGCTCAATTCCTCCTCTGCCCTGGACTTAGCCTGTCATGGCCCTCGCTGTGTTGCAGTGTTCCAGGCAGCCTGTGTGTCCCCAGAGTCAGACAGAGGGCCTCAACAGGCCTGCAACATGGAAGGCTGGACCTGCCTAGGCCTACCTGTTCTGATGCTCTTCCTCCTCCTAGGGTTGGAACCCACAGGCCCTTGTAAGTGAGGGTGAAAAGGCAGAGCCCACAACTCAGGTGAGTCCCCCGTGCCCAGGCTCTGCCCCCACCACACCCTCCCCCCCACCCCTCCCTCTGCAGGGTAGCCTGGGGAGACCCCCACAGGGAGGCCAGGGCTCTTCGTCCATTGGTTCATCGCTGCTGCTATGAGCCACCATGAAGGGTCTCCCCGTCCTAGACCTCAGGGACCCTCTTTTCTGCCCTTGGTAGGCACCTTATCTCACAGTGTGCACAGGCCAGGATGAGGTCACCAGTGACCCTCAGTGTGAGAGGACCCAAACCTGGAGCTGCGACTTCCAGCAGGACAAGTTCATGGCACAAAGCCAGAGAGCACTGAGACCCCAGCCCCTCCCCAGGCCTGTCTCCTGCCCCGTCCCAGCATGTAACACCACGGAGATCTCACTTCAGGTTCCCAGCCTACTTGTTCCACAGCTGCATTGGCTCCACGTGACTGAGACACCAGTTTCCCACTCAGTGAGCAGGAAAGCCACCAAATGGCCCTTTCCTGGCGTTTCTAAGTCCAGCAACTAGACAGCCTCTCCAGAGCCTGCAGGAAAGGACAGGGCTGTATTGGGGGGAGGCCCACTGCAGTTTGGAAGCCTTGTCGCTGAGGAGTCCGGGGAGGCTCAGAGCGGAGTCAGATCCACGCTGTTACTGCTCGCTGTGCCACAGGACAGGGTGTGGGTGGCTGGCCCAGGTGGGAAGGACAGGCCTGGAGTGTTCCCAGACTAGCCACATGGGAGATAAGGACACTTTCCAAGACAGGCAGCTCAGATCGAGGCTGCTCAGACAACCATGTGGACCTGATGGGGTAGGCAGCTCAGAGCAGACCCTAAGGTATCCACGCTGGGGGGTGGGGGGGATGCGCCCCTCCCCGGGGACACTGCAGTGTGTGAGAAGAAGCAGCCGGCAGGTCACAGCAAGGGGCTTCCCACTCCTCACCACCTTGCCACGTCCTCTCCATGGCTCTGCAACTCAATCTATTTCCATGGATCCACCTGTCCAGGTGCCCAGACTCCAGAGCCAGTCCTTGAACCTGCAGTTGTCAGAAAAGGGTCCAGCTGGGGAGCCTGTGGGGGGTGATTCCCAGAATGAACACCAGGGGGCAGGCCAGGGCTAGGAAACGGGGCAGCCCACTGCGGGAGGTTAGTCAGCACCTGGGGCTGTTGTGGGACTGGGACTGGGAGTTGTGGAAGCAGGGGACAGTAACTCAGGAAGTAAAATGATAAGCAAGCTATGAGTGCCAGGAAGGACAGTAAAAATCAGATCCACTCAGTCCTTAACTTTTGAGCATTGGAGTCTATTTATTGTCTCTTCCACTCCACAATCACTTTTTGAGGGAGATCCTTATGAGTCTCTGTTTTACTGAGGGGGAAACTGAGGCACTGAGTCTCACAGCTGTTAGAGCTGTTAGTGTCTCACAGTCAAATTCTCTCCATGACCCTTGGTTTTTTTGGTTTATTTTTTTTTTTTAGAGAGACCTTTCTGCAGTTGGTGGCTGGGAGGCAGCTCCCAACGCTGGCAGGAAGAGAAATGATACAAGTGCAAAGGCCCTGAGGTGGGGACAAATGTGTCATCTCTGAGGACGGCTGTGTGAGGGACGGAGCCCAGTGGAGGGGCAGTGCTCAGGGTTCCCTAAGGTGCACGTCCACCCCACCCCTCCACCACTCCCTCCCCTCTGGGGCCCTTGTCCGACTTGTGCTGTTCTGGCTTCACATTCTGCACAGTTCTGCAGATGGGGACAGGGCTTGACTGGGTTGCATGGCAGCTGAGGGTCTTTGCCCTCTGTGTCCATGGCAACAGGAGGCTGGATGGGGGTGGGGAGGGAGAACTTCGAGAGCCCCCTGGCCAGGGTTAAGGAAAGGAAGATGCAGACTGAAAAACCCAAGCTGTGTTCCCAGCCCCCAGGGAGGAACAGCTCAGCAATAATTCCGGCAACGGAGCAGCCTAAGTGTGAAGAGGAAGTGCGGGGTTCTGGTGTTGAAGACTTGGGGTTTCCTAAGTGATTCTGCAGGCAGTGGGATCACATTCCCTGAGTGCTTTGAGGGCTGGGCAGGGCTCTTGAGCTTTCATAAGGGTGTCTGATCATAACCTGGATGAGTGGCCTCAGTGTCCCCATCTGCAGAGTGGGAGCAGTAATGGTCCTGACTTCACACAGAGGTGCTGCAGGGCTAGAGCCTCCTGGTAACCTAGTGTCCCCACCCAGCCCCCATGGGAAGCATTTCTCTCCAATTCTGCACTCCTGCCCGGAGCACCTGGCTCACTCCGTGACCTTGGAGAGGTCACTTTCCCTCTCTGAGCCTTTTGCCTTTCTGATGGTGAAGGTACTCCCACCAGGAAGGGGGAGAAGGACTGCCATGCCCACCCCAGGGGGTCGGGGGATATACTGCTTGCTTGCAAGGTGTGCGCTGCAGCTGGTAGCTGGACCCCCTGGAGTGGTTTTGGCTGACTTGAAACTTAATTAAACATTTACTCATTCCAAGTTTTTGACTTGAGTGAATCCTTTGTATTTTTTCACCACTCAGGGTTTCATCCCCAGAGCTGGGTGACTGGGGCGGACTCTGGCCCAGGGGAGGGGTGCTGGGTGGAGGGGAGCTCGGGCTGTCTGTGACCTGACAAATGGCCTCCAGTAAAGCCATTGGCCTCCTTCCTGAGCCGCCCACCGCCCACTCTTGAGTCCAGCCCGCCGCCTCATCCAAACAACCCCGGGGATGCCACCTCGGCAGAAAAATGACGCTGTTCCATTAACATCTGACACGGATTTGCAGGCCCCAAACAGACGAGCGCGCGTGTAAACACCCGGCCCGGCTGGGTCCTCGCCCGGCCTCAAAGTGGGATCCTGGTTATTAATTGTCCTCCTGCTGGCCCTGGGGACCCCGGGGCCCAAGAGCCTGCCAGCTTGATTTCAAAGCCAGAATCCCACCTACCCTGAGCACTGCAGTCCCCAACTGCCGCAGCTGGCAGAGAGGTGTGCCCGATTCTGGTGCCCACGTGGGTGACCTTGGAACCCAACGTCCTCCCTGTAAGATGGGGATGGCATGGTGTGTCCGGGTTGCACCTGCTGGTCCCTTGCGTGCACTCTGGAACCACATTCTTGGGTACCTGGCCCCAAAGGGGAGAGAGGACACCTCGAAGAGCCTGTGACCGTGTGACAGTTGTCGTTTTACACTGAATCGGGGCATTTGTTCCTGTGTAGTGTCTGACAGTTAGCAGACAAATAACACTCCTCCCAGCCCATGTGTCAAAGGGAAGTCTCAGCGGAACACAGTGGCCTCCATGCAGCCAGGTCCTGGGAGAATTTCTGTCCCCCCCACTCCCTCCGCCTTCCCTTCATTCCTCTCTCCCTCCCCGCTTTCCTCCCTTTCTCCCTCCTTCCTTTCCCTTCCTCTCCCCTTTCCTTCCTCCCTCTTTCTTTCACAGGTTAAGAGAATTCCATGCCATTGCTTCCGGGGTCTCAGCTACTCTGATCTCAT